GAGGCATTGGGTTTCTCAGCACCACATATAAACAAATAAATAAATAAAGGTCCATGAATAAGTCATAAWTTTTTTTTTTTTTAAATCTCTAATTGGGTATTGTGGTGCTCGACTATAATCCCAGCAGCTTGGGAGGCAGAGGCAGGAGGATTGAGTTCAAAGCCAGCTTCAGCAACAAAAAGGCAATTAACAACTCAGTGAAACCTTGTCTCTAAATAAAGTACAAAATAGGGTTGGGGATGTGGCTCAGTGGTCTAGTGGCCCTGAATTCAATCCCCATTCCCTCTGCCCCCACAAAAAAATTTCTTGAAGGCAGAGTGTCTTATCTTTKTATCTATGGCAGTTCGTTGTGAACATTAGACCTTCAATGTTCATTTAATCCATGCCGTATCAAACTGAGTTTTATGAATACTGTCTCCTAGCGGCTTGGTGAACTCTCTGAGGTTTTAAAAATGTGTTTTTTTAATTTCAAGTTTGGAAAATTTGTAATCATTCTCAATGAAAACCACTTTACACCTAATACTGCTGTGATATTTTAGTGCATGTGTTTAAATTTGTGTTTTATGTAGATAATACACAGATCATCTAATAGCATAGTAATTTTTAAAAAATCCGAGTCTCCAAAGAAACCCTAACCCCCATTTTCCCCCTGCAATGCTGGGTATCAAACCCAGAGCCTCTTGCATGCCAGGCAAATGTTCTGCCACTGAGCCACATCCCAGCTCCCCTCTATTATAGGAGGTTTGTATATTACCTAATTTTGAGAAACTGCTAAATGAATAAACACTACTTCGAAGTCTAACTGACCTCTCCATATTCCTTGAAGAGTTTACCTTCCATGTTTTCCTATCTCCTTGCATATGCATGGGGTATTGCCTTTCTCCATTGTTACTACAGTTTTTATAGGATTTTTTTCAATAGAACATATATCTGGTCAAAACCCTGTGTATCTTTCAGAAATGTTCTCATCTCAGTGAAACTTCATGATGTTCTTTATTCTTCTTATTGTTCAAGTAGCCTTATTCTTCTCTTGAACTCCTTAGAGTCTATACCCTAGAAATTTGATCTTTTGCAACTCCAGTGAAGTTTTATTAGGTTTAAACCAAACATTGAAATTTACTTGATGCCTGTCTGCATGATATATTGGAGAGGAATGACAGCTTGTCAGAGTTTAGCATCAGTGTTTTTCTTCAGTGTAGAAGCATGCAGCAGTTCACGTAGGAGTATTGTCAGCCATCCAGGACCCATTTTCTTTGGTTTCTCAGGTGACAGGTCAGGTACAAGAAAGAGAAGTTCAAATCCATAACATCCTCATATTAAGTAGGAATAGTTCTTTTAGTCCAGAAACAATTTACCAATCAAATGCCTAACAGGTGTATTGTAAAATAATGAATCAGGTTTTATGGGGAACAGAAATAGAAAGTTAAATTACGATCAAAAACTCATATAGAAGAGGAAGGAGTTTTGCTAAATATTTACCCATATCTATTTTGTGGTATTTTACCCTGCTTTTGCATTGTATGATAATTTTTATATACCTCTTTATTTCTGCTGCTCCTGATTCTACTCTAAAGGTCAGAAACTCTATGAGAATATGTCTTTCTTTATAATATCTGTGGTCTAACCAGGTGTGAATGGTGCATGCCTATAATTCTTGCTACTGGGGAGGCTGATGCAAGAGAATCATGAGTTCAAAGCCAATCTCAACAACTTAGTGAGATCCTCTCTCAAAAAATTAAAACAAAAMCAAACAAAAAAAATGGACTGAGGATGTGGCTCAGTAAGTGCACCTAGGTTCAATTCCTGGCAAACCACTGCTCCCCTGCCCCCACCTCCACAGGTATGTGTGTGTGTGTGTGTGTGTGTGTGTGTGTGTGTGACTGTGGTCTAAAAGGTTACCTTATATACATGGTAAGCATCATTGCTAAACTCCACTTATTTCTCTGTAATTTTTTTGCTAGGAGTCGAACCAAGGACCTCCATACATGCTAGGCAAGCTCTCCATCAATGAGCTGTATCCCCAGCCCTTATTTATTTATTTATTTATTTACTTACTTACTTATACTTATTTATTTATTTATTTATTTATTTATTTATTTATTTATTTATTTATTTTAGGGCCTCAAGTTGCTGAGGCTTTATTTTTTTTAATATATATATTTTTAGTTGTGGATGAGCCTTCATTTATTTATTTATTTTTATGTGGTGCTGAGAATCGAACCCAGTGTCTCACACATGCTAGGCAAGTGCTCTACCACTGAGCCACAACCCTAGCCCCCTGAGGCTGGGTTTGAACTTTTGAGCCGCCTTCTTCATCCTCCTGAGTTACTAGGATTACAGGTGTGCACCACCGTGCCAAACTTCCCAGCCCTTTTTATTTTATTTTGAGATAAGATCTCAATAAATTGCCAGGATGGCTTTGAACTTGGGATCCTCTTGCCTGAACCTTCTGCATAGCTGTAGGCAAGCACCACCATGCCCAACTTCTGTATAGTTTTTAAAGGACACAATTGAAATAATCAAAGGCAGCTTGACAATGTGTATCAGTTTTATGTGCATTTACCCTTTTTTATTCAGCATTGTGCCTCCAGGGATTTATGTTGTTTAAATACTATATATGCAGAAAAGATATATGAAGGAGGTATACAAGTGCAGTGATAGTTTTAACTGTAAGAAATGGAAATCATTTGTTAGGATAGTTGTTAAGTTGTAGTTCATTCATATCATGAAATAAGCAATTATTACCAAGAATAAGGTAGGTAGATGCATATTGTCATTTAAAGCAATTTGTTCATATAGTCCTAGTTTTCAAAACCAAAAATTACATAGGTATTTATGGATAGAAATATTTAGAGGGGGATACATGGCAGTATCAATGTGGAAATGTTTGGGGATCAGGTAGTTTTTTCTTATGTACTTCCGTATTTAAATTTTATAGTAGTAATTGAGTGTGGTGTCCCATAACAGTAATCCTAGCAACTGGGGAGGCTGAGGCAGTAGGATGTCAAGTTCCAGACCAGCCTTAGCAATATGAGGCCTTAAGTCATTTAACTGAGACTCAGTCTCAAAATAAAAATTTAAAGGGCTGGGGATGTAGGTGTGCTGTAAAGCCTCCCTGGGTTCAATCCCAATGCGCACACACACACACACACACACACACACACGTATATTGATTAGCAGGTATTCATTTTGAAACTAAGAGTTTTAACAGTATAGATATTAGAGTAGAATTAGTCTAAAAAAGTATTCAGAAAATATTGGAGACTCTTCTTTTTGTAATCTTCTGTACCATTGAATAACCTCAGTTTGTGCCTCTTTCTGGCACATTGGGTCTCACAACAGCAGCTACTTAGATCAAAATTGAAACTTTTTAAAACAGGAACAGTATATTAAACAGTCAATTATACAAATTCTTTTTTATGCTGTTGMTCTTGTGACCATTAAGTTACTATAAATAGTGCAAATAGTACTGAATTCTAAGGAACAGTTGTGAATAAGTAGTAGTATAAGGATTGTCATGAAAAAAATCATGTCAAGTAGTAGACAAAGTATTATAAAATATGGACACAGAAACAGTTTATAGCAGATATAGTATTATAAAATATGGGCACATAAACAGTTTGTATTTATGAGGAGAGATTAATTTAAGACATAGATTAACTCCCACATTCATCAGCAGAAATTAGCCAAAGAAGGGCTTAGGAGATTTTGCATGAGTAATGAAGACAGGAAAGGGATGTATGTAAAATACTAAGGCAGGGACCTTASAAGTAAACAACAGTTGGGAGTTGTTATTCCCAGTTTTATCATTAGTTGATAAGTCACTATCACTAAACTGTTACCAGGCTAAAACTACAGATCATCTGATGCAGGCTGCTGCTCATGTTTTTCTTCTATAAATCCCGGTTCATTGTGAGGTTTCCTAACTTCCTAATATTCCTGATGTTCTCAGTTATGTCTCAGTACACTGAAAATATACATAGTTTTTAGCATATTGAAACACTTACTTCATATTCAGGTCAAGGTCTGTATAGATTTAACATGTGCTTAGTAATGCTTAAATTATTCCCACCACTTCTCTCCACCCACATGCTTAGTTGTTCCCACTGTCACTCTATGTGTATGTGTTTTGCTACCCAGGGTCACTTTACCACTCAGCTATATTCCCAGCCCTTTTTATTTTTTTATTTTGAGAGAAGTCAGTAAGTCACCCAAGCTGGCCTTGAACTTGAGATCTGTTTGCCTCAGATGCCTGAATAGCTGGGATATAGATGTGTACCACTACACCTAACTGCCAGTGGATATAGTAAAAATAATATTTGGTTTTTAGTAATTTTTTTGGTGGGGAGGATGCTGGGGGTTAAACTCAAGTGTGCTTACCACTGAGCCAGCCCTACGCCCACCCACCTTTATTTTTACAATTTTTAAAAATTTATTTCTTTTTTGGTACCAGGGATGTAATGTAACTCAGGAGTGCTTTACCACTAACTCACATCCCCAGCTCTTTTTATAGAAATTACTATCTTTCTATCTTCCTTTGGCCTCATTAAGTAGCTGAGGCTGGCCTTGAACTTCAATCCTCCTGCCTCAGCTTCCTGAGTCGCTGAGATTACGGATGTGAGAAACCAGGCCTGCCTGGCCAAAATTTTGAGATAGGGTTTCCTGAGTTGCTGAGGCTGGCTTTGAATTTGTAATCCTCCTGAGTAGCTGTGATTAGAGGCATGTGCCATTATGCCTGACTGTAGTAAACTTTTTTAATGATAGGAAAAGCATATTTGAACTTGAAGTAGGAAATTTATTTTACTTAAATAAAAGTTTTGTTATGACACGGAATATACATACGATGTATCTTATCCACAAGATATCTACTTACTTTATAGAYATTTTATTTGTATTGCCAATGTTTAAGTATTTTTTGTCATATAAAATTAATTCAAAGAAGGGGGAAAAAAAAAGAAAAAGAATGGGATTCTCATTAATGAAACTTTTTTTTTCCCCAGACCAGAATCCGTAGAAGCTAGCCCTGTGGTAGTTGAGAAATCCAACAGTTATCCCCACCAGTTATATACCAGCAGCTCACATCATTCACACAGTTACATTGGTTTGCCCTATGCGGTAAGTGTCAAACATTTCTCTGGAAGGAAATTTCTAAAATTTAGAGGTTGAAAGAAAATGGTCTGGTCTTATGCTTAAAATGGAATATTTTATTTATTTTTTTAATATTTTTTTAGTTTTAGGTGGACACAATGTCTTTATTCTTTATTTTTATGTGATGTTGAGGATTGAACCCAGTGCCCTGCGCATGCCAGGGACTCGCTACTGCTTGAGCCACATCCTCAGCCCCTTAAAATGGAATATTTTAAATGCACATTTGTTTCATATCATCTAAAGAATATAGATATATACTATGTAGTTTTATAAGAGGAATCTTCCTAAAGATTTTAATATTATTTTGCAATTATGCTAATAGTACTTTATGTTACATTTCTTTCCCATGAGTAAGGTTACATTGTGTTATTTGCTGTTAATTCTAAATTATATAGTAATTTACATGTTAATGAAATGTAGTTTTTATTTGTTGAGCACTTGTTATGTGCCAGGCTTTATGCTAAGCATTTGTATATACAGTGTCTCATTTAATCCCCAAAAAGAACCTCTTGATATCTGGTTTACATCCCTATTTTTTATCTGAGAAAGTGAAACCTTCTCTAAGTTAATTTATTCAGTATTGCATACCTAATAAGAGCCAGAGATTAGATCCAGTTTCAGAACTGGATGTATTTGTGGTATTATGAAGGTACAATTGTGAGAAATTTTATTACTTGGACCAAAGTAAAGATTACCAAATTTTTAAAAACCCTATGTTATATAATTAGAGATAGTATATCTTCTGTTGTTGTTTCTATTATTCTTAGTTTCTGTATTCTTGTGAATTTTAAATTTTTTTCACCTTTATTCTCATGTCCTGTACCTGCTTTCATCTTGAAGGTAAAGCTGTGTGACCAGAGGACTATTATGATGTCTTTTGATTTGGGGGTCAGGGTGACATTGATGTGAAGATGATCTCCCAACCTTGTAGATAGCTATATTCACTTACCATTGTTTTAATATATTGCTTAATCAAGTTATTTTTTTTAATGGTATTCAGGAAGAGTTGAGCCAGTTTCACATCTCTTTTGAGTTATAAAATTAAGGGTTAAATTTTGTTTAAATTTCTTAGGGCATATTGTTGAAATTAAATAATATCATTTTATTTTTGTGTTCCATTATCCAGGACCATAATTATGGTGCTCGTCCTCCTCCAACACCTCCAGCTTCCCCTCCTCCATCAGTTCTTATTAGCAAAAATGAAGTAGGCATATTTACCACTCCTAATTTTGATGAAACTTCCAGTGCTACTACAATCAGCACATCTGAGGATGGAAGTTATGGTACTGATGTAACCAGGTGCATATGTGGTTTTACACATGATGATGGATACATGATCTGTTGTGACAAATGCAGGTAAAATATTTCACAACATTATTATTTTTTGAATGCTCCTAACCTTTGTCAATTTGGAAGAGATGACTAGAGCCACTTTTGAAGGAATTTATGATTACATTTTTAAAAGTTGGACTTCTACTATTATTGATGCAGTTCATTTTGTTTTTAGAAAAAGCTCATGTCAACAAAAGCTGTCTCCCAATCTATGAGAAATCCCTATTGTAAATTGAGTAATAGATAATCAGTTCTGAATTATATTTATATAGGATTATCTCTTTTCACTTAGTTCAGTAGCAATATAAGTACTTAGAGGAGTAGATAAGACAAAGAGGGAAATTATGTCCTTTGAGTTTCCTTTGCAATTATTTGTGCTGTGTAGTCAACTGTGATTTTCCATTTTGGGGGAATTAAACATTTTGATTGATGTTTATTTGACCTGACTCTCTCACCTCCTTTTGACTTGAACCTTGCAGCACTCTGGAGTCTTCTTGTACCAGAACCACAGTCTCCCCTCCCCCAACCCTGATTCAACCACCAAGAAAGGCCTCCTCCCCTAGAGAAGGTGTGATTGGGACAGAAAGTGGGGTTTTGTTTCACTTGGGTTATTTATTCATTTATTTTTTGTGGGAGGGACTTTGGGAGGATGGAGAGGGAACAGTAGGATTTCAGCCTTAAAAGTTATTGAGTCCATCCCCTATATAGGGTGGGGAGTAGAGAGAATTTAGGCAATAGAAGGCAAGAAAGTTTGGTAGCTTTATAGGATTTCCTGAGTTTGCTCCTTATGGCTTACTTGATTTGAAGTAGCATGGCTTATATCCATATTTGAATGTAATACCCATATAAAGATGCATCCTAGACCTTAATACAAATTAGTTTGCATTATTTATAAAATGTTCCCACCCAGTAAGTGATTCAGAGTTGCATATTATTAATATAAACTTGCAGTTAAAGGTAATATTTTAAAAAGCTCAATTTATTTTTGCCCCCAAATGGTAAATTAATATGTAGAATGTGAAATTGGTATTGTATTTCTGAAAGGTTGTAATATGAATACTTTTTAGTAATAAAACTGTGGTAAATTTATTCAGGAGGTAAATTGAAAATATAAAAAATGACATATTGTTTTTCTTATATTATTGTCAATTCTTATTGTAGCCAGTCATACAAGTTTTCTCTTAACTGACCCACTGTGATAAATTACGTACCACCATGTGGCATTGTTTTTATATTAATGTATAATCTCAGCAGTGTTTTTCTTTTGATCCAGTTACAGTGATCTATGTATGATATGCAGTTATGTCTATTAGAGAGTGGTGAAATTGTTCTTAGAATTTTTTTATATCCATCTACACATTCTTTTCTTAAAATATTTTTAGTTGTAGATGGACACAATACCTTTAGCTTTTTATGTGGTGCTGGGGATTGAACTCAGTGCCTCACATGTGCTAGGCAAGTGCTCTACCATTGAGCCACAACCCCAGCCTCATCTACATGTTCTTGAAGGACCACTTTACAGTGTTTGGATTATTCAAGGTATTTGCTTCTCAGTGACAGCTCTCTATTTTTCTTCTCTCTCTTTGCTCTTTATTGCTCAATCTGTAATGTACCATACAGCTTAATCTCTCACTCTTTTTTTTCTTTTTTGATGTCCTACAGATTATACCCCAAATCTTTTTTATTTAATTTTTTTTTAGTTGTAGATAGACACAATATGTTTATTTTGTTTTATTTTCATATGGTGCTAAGGATCAAACACAGTGCCTCACACATGCTGGGCAAGAGCTCTCTACCACTGAGCTACAACCCTATCCCAAGGCTTAATCTTTTTAAATCTTTTCCCTTTATTCTTTTTTTATGTTGCCTCTTTATATTTTTTCAATATTCCTGCTACCCATTATCATTGCTTTCCACCCTGACATCTAGAACTCTGTTCATTTATTCATTTTCTGTCTTTGTTTCTTCTGTTGTCTGGATAGCATCATTATTTAACCCTCAAATTTAATGTAATCTATTTTTCTAACCTTCATTATCATTTGACTGCTTTTGTTTTCCTTTTTCTTTCTTTGGGTACAGGGGATTGAACCCAACGGTGCTTTGCTATGAAGCTACATTCCCAGCTCTTTTTATTTTTTGAGACAGGGTCTCATTAAATTGCTGAAGTTTTTGCTAAATTGCTGAGGCTAGCCTGGAATTTGTAATCTTCCTGCCTTAGCCTCCTGGTTGCTGGGATTACAGGTGTACAGCACTATACCTGTCTTGCCCTGTGTTTCTTTTTTACTTCTTTTATAAACATATATTCTATTACATACCTCCAAAATCTACTAGTTCTTGTCTTAAGATTCTTAGTTAAGAACAACAAAATAAGCAGTTTATTACTTTTATATTAAAAGTGGCTAATTATTATGTAAAGAATAGCTAAGACTATTTTTGCAAACAAACATACACATTATTTCAGATAATTGAAAATTTGGCAATAAAATAATAATAACAAATTGAGAAGTTTGCTGCAGGCTGGTCCATACATTTCATTGAAAATAATTAGGTTTAGGGGCTGGGGATGTGGCTCAAGCGGTAGCGCGCTCGCCTGGCATGCGTGCGGCCCGGGTTCGATCCTCAGCACCATATACCAACAAAAGATGTTGTGTCCGCCAAGAACTAAAAAAAATAAATATTAAAAATTCTCTCTCTCTCTCTCTCTCTCTCTCTCTCTCTTTAAAAAAAAAATAATTAGGTTTAATTTCTCTCCCCAATGAATGCCTCTTGGGTTCTTTGATTCCTTTTTCTTTGCCATTATTCTGATTCTGTCCTTTTAAAGCTTAAATCTGAAATGTTGGGAAAGCCTCTAGTTTGTCTTTTTACTTCCATTTTCTTAGCTACTTTGTACTAATACTATATGCCACTGAAATTGTTAAATGTTGACAGAAGAAATTTGCATACATCCCAGTATTCCAAGTCCTATATAATCTGACTGTACTTCATTAATTCACTTTTAAACCCTCCTCTGATTTCACAAAATGAATAATTCTCTTCATTCATATTGGCTACCATCTGGCCACCTTCTCCTTGTATCTGTTTATTGATAAATACAACAATGACACCTTTTCTTCCTATTTGCCAAAATGAKATTATTTTCACACTCATTATCCTCTATAGTGCTTTCCCCATGAACTTCAATTAGTGTGGACATCTCCATATTGTAATTTCTAATAACATACATAATCTTTACTTTTAGCATTTTAAAATTGTATTTGCTTTAGAAATTTATTTCTTATATCCTATTTTGCCCTCTTGTTTTGCATCTCAAAATTTTCTGTGAGGATACACTTCTGTGAATTCCTCCTAGCACCTTTTAGAATGCTAAACTCAAAGTAGGCCTGCTTAAGTGGTGGTTTAAATAGAATATAAAATCTTAATTTAAGGATGGTTTAACATTTTATATGTTTTCCTTTTTTTAAGTGTTTGGCAACATATTGATTGCATGGGGATTGATAGACAGCATATTCCTGATACCTATCTATGTGAACGTTGTCAGCCTAGGTAAGTTGCACATACATGGTAAGATTACCAGTAATTTCACTGAGCAAAATAACAGAAATTTATTTATGAATTCTACATTAAAGAATTAATAATTGTATTTTACCGATTTTTGAGAACATTTTCATTTTTTCTGTTTATTATTATTTTTATATCCCCAAATCTCTAATATGAGGAAGAATCTTGTCATTTATCATATGATGTATAGTTTACTTTATAGGGATTTTACTTTATTGTGTTGGTTTCTTTTTTCACTGAAATATACAAGAGTCACTGAAATACCACTTCCTTGATTACATACAGAATTTAATAGGTCTGTTATGACTCCTGTTTGTAGTATATGGTTTTCTTCTTAACCCCATTTATTTCTTATTTTATGGATATTTAGACCTATATAAAACTTAAGTAATATAATGAGCTCATTTCCCCTACCTTGCTTCAGTAATTATCAACAATTATGTTTTGCCTGTTATTTTTACTTTAAAGATAAAATACAAGAGTTTATAGTTAAAATTACAGTTTAAATTTAGGAATACAATTTTTTATTTAATGTTTTATATTGTTTATACATATGTCCTTTTATCATAGTTTTCAACAACACAGGAATAATATAATTAGAATATCACATGATTACTTAATTGTTTAATGTCCTACAAAAGAATACAAGAATCTCAAAAGTAATACCAACACTAGCACCATTAGTGAGATTACATAAAACTTTTTTCCTCATAGGGCATAGTTCTTAAAGAAGTTAGGGTCCATTTATTGTATTTAAAATCCTTTGAAAGAATTTCAGTGTGTCATTACAACCCAATTTATGCATACTTAAGTTTAGATTATTAGTTCTATTTTTCTGTTTAGTTTTCAGTTATTGGTGATATCACATATAGTTGGAAAATAATGCAGAAATCTTGTGTTTACTTACATAGTTTCCCTATTGGTAATATCTTGTGAAACTGTTAATTGAAAATTATAATTAGTATTTTGACATTGATACAGTCATGGAGTCAAGTACAGAGCATTTCCATCACTGCAAGGTTGCCTTATGCTGCTTTATAACCATTTCTACTCCACCCCTCCCAACTCTGACCTTTGGCACCCACTAATCTATAATAATATATAATCTCCATTTCTATAATTTTTGTCATTTTAAGAACGTTCCAAAAATGAAATAATATAGTTTGTGACCTTTTAGAATTGGCTTTTTCATTCAGCCGAATTCCCTGAAGAGCTATCCAATTTGTTACATGTGTTACTGTTTCATTCCTTTTTAGTGTGTGGGATGTATGTGGGGTGTGTGTGTATATGTGTACACAGTTGTTTGTTTACACATACACAATAGTTTACATGTTTAGTTTTATAAGAACTTGTCACACTGTTTTTCATAATGGCTATCTAATTTTACGTTCTTACCAGAAATGTATGAGTAATCCAGTTATTTTTTTAAACTTGTTTTTAAATTTTTATTTACTCTTATAATTATATACTTTATAATTATGTAAGATGTGCTTCTATTATTCTAAAGTCAAATATATAAAACAAGATATATTCCAGTAAGTCTAACTTCTATCCTTGCTCCTTCTACACCAGAAGTAACTATTTTTAAAAATTGATTTTTCCTCCATTACTTGTTTTCTTACATGTAGATATATACCTATATATTTGCATTTTTCCCCCTTACATAAACAGAAGCATATTACACAAAGTCCTTACATTTCTTTTTTTTTTTTTTTCCCTCTTAAAAAAAAATATGTTGAAGGGCTGGGGATGTTGCTCAGTGGTTAAGTACCTCTGGGTTCAATCCCCAGTACCAAAAAAAWGTGCTAAAAGATCACTTCATATAGTGTATTTTTCTATACTACTACCTAGCTTCTGGACAGACTTAAGTACTTGATTTATTCAACCAGCTCCTTCTGGGAAGACATTTATTTTCAGGCTTTTGTTATTGCAAATCAAAGTGGGATTGTACTTTTAAAAGAGTAAATGTATATAAAATTTTGCCAGCTGTTGCCAAATTCCCCTCTGGTGAGAGCTATGCAGTTTTGAATTCCCTCAGTAATGCCTGTTTTCTCAAGTCTACAATAGAGTATTTGACAGACTTGGATTTTTTCACAGTTGAGAAATTGTAATATCAGTATAGCTGTATTTCTCTCATTGTGAGTGAGACTTTTCTGTTTTTGTTTTATTTTATGATAGTTAYTAGCTTTTGATGGAATAAGTGTCTGTTGATGAATTCAGTAAGAGTAGGTTAAAAACTGACTAATAAGAGGGCAACTGATAAGCAGTTGAAAGAGATCTGCTTATCATTCTATGATAAGTAGAATTGTTATGTGTAATGCTAATAATTATGTGTCCTGGTAGACATAAAGGCAAGTCTGTTACTGAGTTATAGACATTTCATGTTTATGACATGTTTTGTAAAACGTTTAGTGTTTRTTATTTCAAGAGTGCAGATAATTTAAGGCATATGGTAATATGCAGTAGATACTAATTCAGTATCATAAACTTAAGAAGTTTAATTTGTGAATTTAATTACATTGTTAACATTATGGGTGTTTTTTCAGTTTTTTTTTATTGCACTGAATATTGAATTTGAAATAAATTGTGCTCCTTTCCTAGGTAAAATAGTATTTTCTAAATAGAATGAAATAGTCAGTTAATTGGCCTCTACTGCTTTAATATTAGAGCATATCTAAACTGAAAGGCAAGAGAAGTTGCATGTATTTTGTATTGTTGATCTTTTACTGAAAACATTAAAAAAAATTCTGCTTCATATGTAGGTTTATGAAAATCTGATCAATAATTATGTTAAAATTTTAATGTAGGAATTTGGATAAAGAGAGGGCGGTGCTACTACAACGCCGGAAAAGGGAAAATATGTCAGGTGCGTAAAAAATTTAAGTTTAGTGTAATAGAGAAAATAAATGACTTGTATGGTTTTAGTTAGATATAAATACCCTATTGATGAATTTTTGTTGTATATATTATTTACAACCTCAGGTATAGATTTTAAATATTCTTTTTATGGCTCATAGATTTTGTATATTGATTTAAGGAAACATATTTGTTCTTCAGAGAGATGGCGATCCATTAGTTTATCATGTGAAATAGAATCTCTTTGCTCACTCGCGTGTGCGTATGTGTGTGTGTGCGTGGGTGTGCGTGCGTGTGTGTGTGTGTGTGTGTGTGTGTGTATGTATGTGTGTTGTGGGGAATTGAACCCAGGGCTTTGTGCATGCATACAAGCATTCTACCAACTAAGCTATATCCCCAGCCCCTCCTTCATTTTTAAAGACAATTTCCTAAATTCTATATAAGATTTGCCATGCTTTTGGTTTAAAATATATTTGGGTTAAAACCAGTACAACTGGTTTTGAATAATCAGTTTATTTTGCAGTTCCTCCTTGATGGACATTTTGGTTCTTTTTCATTATTTTTGTTTTTAAACCCTCCTTTTTTTGGCTAGATCCCTAGAAATAGAAGTCCTGATCAAAGAGTAAGTGTATTTAGTTTTTCAAGGTGTGGCTAAATTCCTCTYCATAGGGAATTTTGAATTGCCACTGCTAATGTATGGTATTGCCTATTTCTTTCCTCATTCACACAACCAGAGTTTTGTTGTCAGACTTTTGGATCCTTTGTAGTTTAATGAATGACATTTGTAGTTTGTATTTAAATGTACCATCTTCTTATGAGTGAGGTGAATAAAGAAATTAAAAAGTATGTTTATTCTTTAGAAAAACAGAGATAATACTGTGTCATGTGGAATGCTGTTTTACTCTTTGAAATAGAAGTATTAAATGTCCAATAATTTCATTTTGCATTTGAAGATGGTGATACCAGTGCAACTGAGAGTGGTGATGAAGTTCCTGTGGAATTATACACTGCATTTCAACATACTCCAACTTCAATTACTTTAACTGCTTCAAGAGTTTCCAAGGTCAATGATAAAAGAAGGAAAAAAAGTGGGGAGAAAGAACAAAACATTTCAAAATGTAAAAAAGTACGTTTGCTTCTTTTTAAAATGAGTAGATAAAATAGTATATAGGGGAATGAGCTTTATATAGTAAAGGGAGAGTAATGAATTATAGCTAAACAGATATAGCAAAATCTAAACAAACATTTAATATATTTAGTGTGTTTTGAAGATTGAAGTGGAATAGAAATTTTGCAAACTGCTTGAAATTGTCACTCTGATAAAGTCTGAGCATAAAATACAAAAGATTGCTATTTTAGAAAACAAATTACAGTCTTAAATTTGTAATAACTTGTAACTGTTAAGGAAGCATGTGATGGTTGTTTATACCTACTCTTCTCTATTTGAATACTATCTGATTATTTTAATAAGGCTTCCTGTTTGAATTTCTTACCACTTAGGTTTTTTTCCACTTAATATTCTAAGATCTGAAGGCAAAAGAGTATCTATTAGCTAAGTTTTCGTTAAATTTGTTAATGAAATTTTGTTAGTAACAGATCACATATATGATTATGATCCCAAAAGATTATAAAGGGAAAACTTCTATCATCTAGTATTTTCATTGTATGTTTTCTATGTTTAAATACAAAAATACTTCATTATATTGCAGTTGCCTACAGTAACATGCTGTACACATTGCAGTCTATGATCAATAAGTAGGCTCTGCTCTGCTCTGCTTTGTAGGTTTGTGCAAGTATACTGTGTGGTGTTTGCAATAAGGACAAAATAGCTCAGTGATGCGTTTCTCAGAATGTATCCCTGTCATTAAGCAATATGTGACTGTAATTGCTAGTAAAGGTTTTTGTCATACACTGTAAAAAATATTTTTCCTAATGACTATCTTGTTACAGAGTAAAATTTTATGAAATCAGGACTTCAAAATAAAGGTTTTTCTTAAGTAATATTTTATGATATACTTATTTAATAGGCAGCATGTACTTTTAAATACATTTTTCATTTTCAAATTTCCTCTCTCTGTTTAAAATCAGCTTGATTATCTTAGCAGTTTTCATGTACATATCTGCCTCATTTTCTGTTATTCTTTTACTTATATTTTATCCAGTCTGGACAATTCATTGTTGCCACATTCTACCCACACTTGCTGAACATGCTTTACCATTTGGAATATTCTTCTCTCCATCTTGATCTTTTTATTCTACTATATATAGTAAGGCCCATCTCAAGTACTATTATTTCCATGAAATTTGCTCTTCTACTATCAAATATAATCTTTCTTTGCATTCTGTCATGGCACTTGGACCTTTTATTCTTGAACTTAACCACATTTTCCCTTATTTCATTATGATGTTCCTCATCTCTTAGATTGTAATTTATACAAAGAGAGATTGTTAGGTGTTTTTGTAGTTTAGAATCCTATTAGCAATTAGCATTTTAGGGTCAGTACTTTATCACTACTCATTAGAGTGACAATTTCAAACACTTTGCAAAATTTCTATTCCACTTCAATCTTTAAACATTTAGCAATTCACTAGACGTTAAGATGTTAACACACCTTTTTGTCTACTACTTTCAAATCTTATGATTTCTTTTTTGTTTATTTTACAAAAGTTAACTTGGAAATTTCTTATGTTTCTGTTCTACATCTTTGGTTTAATACAGCATAGATTCTGTATTTTCTCTGGCTGGAATGCCTTGGGTATTTGAAATAACTAAACTCTGAGTCTTGATTATGTCTCATTTACTTTTAAAACATTGTGGTATATTTAAAAGGGAAGAGATTTTTCTCTGGCATTTAAGTTAGTAACACCAGGAATCAGGGTGTTAAAAAAAAAAAAAAGAAGAATCCAGGAACTGGCCACTAAAGATAACTAGTTTATTATTCTGCTAAGATTTAATTATAGTTTGGGGGCAGTATGTAATATAAAGTATATAGCAAAGGATATAATTTTGCTTTACATTCAGCATACTCTGAAGGCAAATTGTTCAAAGTAAGAATAGATTTAGCAAAAAATATTCTGGACAGATTTATTTTATATTCACAAAATCCTAGTAAGATATTTTTGGTATTTTAGCAATTCACTGCTTTTACTTCTCTTACAGATTGAGCATCCCAAATCTAGAAATTTGAAATGCTACAAAATCTGAAATGGTACTTAAAAATTTCAGGTTTTAGATTTTCAGGTTAGGGATGCCTAATTTTCAGATTACATAAATGCAAATGTTTTTCAAAATTCCAGTCTGAAAATCTTCTGTTCTTAAGTACTTTGAGTAAGGGATACTCAACCTATACCATTTTCTTTCACTGTTTCCTCTGTACACCAAAGTTGACTCTTCCTTACTCCTTGTTTACTTTTTTTTTTTTTTGGTATCAGCACAGCGAATACACAAGCTCTAAAATCTTTTAAGTCACCTTTAGTCTTGATATACAGATTTATCTTCAAAAGCTGTATTTATTTTTCCTTTAAAATGTCTCTTTGGTGTATTTTTTCCTCTTTTCACTTCTACAAACCCAGTCTAAGCTACTATTATCTCATAGTAGTACAATAATTATCTTTTTTATTTTTTAAAATTTTTTATCTTTACCCCTTCAATCCATTATGCACTTGGATATCAGATTCCCTAGAAATATCACTTTTGTATCCTTTCTATGCTCAGAAATAAGGATTTTCATTAATAGTAAAGAGCAAATATAGTATTTAAGTCAGAATCATAAAGTCTGACTTTTTCAATAAGCCTTCCATGACCTGCTTTGATGTTATTTTAGCCAATCCTTCATCACACTACTTTTCAATAGGTAAGAGTGATAGTATATTAATTTTCCCTTGAACTTGGCAATTTCTTCCCATTTCATACATTCTTAGTTTTTTTGTACTCCCAGGATTGTATTTCTTTCATTTGTTCATCTGTCTGGATATATGCATTCTCAAAGTCCACCTAACTTTTTCAAGGTTGCTCTTTTCTAATATATTGCCTACGTACAGATTTAACACTTAAATTTATGTTTAGATCTATCTAGCTATCTCTAGGTTTATTTTTGTTAGTCTCTCTAGATAGACTTTACACTTTGGGATGAAGAATTAACAAGATAGTAATTAAGTCTTAAGTAACTCAAGATCTTGCAATTAGTGTGGCCTCAGTAAATATTTATTGAATAAATGCACTTCTGTTTACCACAGAGCTTATTATTTAAGCCGCATTAAGGGTTCAAATATTTCTTGCTAGCTAGTTGCCTTAGAGAATTAAAATTATAATATTTCCCTSCCAAACATCTCATCATTTTAACCAAATTATTACAGCATTTCTAATATCTTACCAATTTTTTCACAAAAATTTCTTTACAATTTTAATACTTATTTATGTATTTATAGTTGCCATTGGACCTTTATTTTATTTATTGATACGCGGTGCTGAGAATCAAACCAAGTGCCTCACACATGCTAGGAAAGCACTCTGCCACTGAGCCACAACCCCAGCCCTGTAATATTTATTTATTTATTTAAAATTTTTTTTTTTAGTTATACATGGGCACAATATCTTTATTTATTTTTATGTGGTGCTGAGGATCCAACCCAGGGTCCCACACGTAAGAGGCGTGTGCTCTACCGTTGAGCCACAACCCCAACCCCTGTAATATTTATTTTTAATTAGAAATTACAAGTATGTGCTACTGCACCCAGCATATTTTATTTTGAGTTTTTAGTTTCCACACAAAAACATAAAAGTCATACATATTCATGGTATACCATGTAATGGTAAAGTTTAAATCAACATTTGTCATTTCTTTGTGGTGAAAACTTTCAAAACCTCTTCTTCAAGCTTTTTGAAATGTACATTAAATAATTGAGTCTGTGGTTACCATACTATGCAAGAGTTATGGTTATAATATTGAGAACATAGAATATTTGGAAAGTTTTATCTGATCATCATATATACGTACTTTTATATTCTAAATACTCTTCATTATATTTGTGATAGAATAACATTCTAGTACATTTATTTACTTCAAATTCTCCAAGTTTTACTGATCAGTTTTTTTCCCTTAACTATAATACTTCAGTGAACCAGTTGATTCTTAATTATATCCAGCTTTTAAAACAACTAACCCAGAATTCCATGCTTATTTTAGGCCTTTCGTGAAGGATCTAGAAAGTCATCAAGAGTTAAGGTAAATACATTACATTTAAGGAGTTTATTTAAGTGGCTGCTTGTCTTTTTGCTCTCTTCATTGTGCACCGTTTCATCACTTATCTTACAAGAAGTGGGACCTTAGAATTCTAATTGAATTAATAAATCACTGTTGTTGTTTATTAATACTATGGAAACATTAATCAAAGGGTGTGGTGGCAGGGTAGGGTGGTACAAGCCTATAATTTCAGCAACTCTGGAAGCTGAGGCAGGAGAATTGCAAATTGGAGGCCAAATGTGGTAGCTTAGTAAGACCCTGTTTCAAAATAAGAAGAAGAAAGACTGGGGATGCAGCTTAGTGGTTTTGATCCTCAGTACCCCCTCCAAGTGTATATTCATAATTTCAGATAGTAAAATTGGAGTAATTAGAATTTTATTTATCACTGCATTTTATGTCTCCCATAGTACTTTATATTCATTTTCTATACACATGAATACAGAATCACATTTGGGAAATTGAGATTTTACTTTTGCATAGTTTGATTCTTAAGGTAGTCAAGTCAGCTGTACCATAAAAGCATGAGTCTCACTATGTAAATACAAACTAGTCACATGTACCTTAAATTAATTAGAACACAGTCCCCTTGCTAAGAGCAAAACTCTCTTCTTTTGGCTTCTGATATCTAGATTTTTGTTGGGTCACAGAGGTAAATATATAGTGTTATAAAGCTTTCTGGGTTAGGTAGTAAAGGATAACAAGTTTCTTTTTTAAAAAAATATTTATTTTTTAGTTGTAGTTGGTCACAATACCTTTATTTCACTTATTTATTTTTATGTGGTGCTGAGGATTGAACATAGAGTCCCATGCATGCCAGGCGAGTGCTCTACCGCTGAGCCACAACCCCAGCCCCAGGATAACAAGTTTCTTAAGTAGTTGAACATTAAATAGGATGTGGGGAGTGTGTTATAGTATATTTTTTGTCCCATGGTATAAAGCATAATAATTATTCGTTATGTCACATTTCTAGAAAACACATCATGAAACTATCATTTTTATCTCAAGAATATTACAACATGGTGTCATTCAGCATATGCAAGTCCCACATTTCATAAAATATTCTTTATATGATAAAGTTGAAGATTTATATTTTATTCTATTAACTTGAACTTTAGGAATTTTCTCTGATAGAATAAAGAGATCTGAAAAGTTTTTTGATTAGTTACAGGCAAATCTTATTACCTCAGTACTAGGCTTCATGAGGAAGGAACATTTTTTATTTTACTGAAATACTTTCCTTTAGTACATAAAGAGGTGAGTTAGGAATGCAAAAATTTTTCAAATTCTTTGTGAATATTAGAAAATATATTTTAACTTGAAGATCATGTTTGAAAGTCATTACAATTCAAATAAATAATTCTGTAGTAAACTTTATAAAGTTCAAGATATACAAAGTTCAAATGTGGTAGGATAATTTCTGGTCTTTTTGCTTGGATCAACTTAGAAAGCTAAATGTTTTCCAGTCCAGTTTATATTAATTTTTAATGTATATTGCCATTAATTCTGTGTATGTTTGTGTATGTAACTACTTAAGTTCAAACTGTAATACTTACTTTGCTGTGATTTTAGGGTTCAGCTCCAGAAATTGATCCTTCATCTGATGGTTCAAATTTTGGATGGGAGACAAAAATCAAAGCATGGATGGATCGATATGAAGAGGCAAACAATAACCAATATAGTGAGGGTGTCCAGAGGGAGGCACAAAGAATAGCTCTTAGATTAGGCAGTGGAAATGATAAAAAAGACATGAATAAATCAGAATTGAACACCAACAATTTACTCTTCAAACCTCCTGTAGAGGTAAATATATTGTCAAAAAATTATAAAAATCCTTTTTATGCTATATATCTTCAGTTAGACTGAAAGCAACCAAGTGTAATTCATGTCAACATATACTCTGATTTTAGAGCCATATACAAAAGAATAAAAAAATTCTGAAATCTGCCAAAGATTTGCCTCCTGATGCACTTATCATTGAATACAGAGGGAAGTTTATGTTGAGAGAACAGTTTGAAGCAAATGGATATTTCTTTAAAAGGTATCTATTTTTTCCTCACATGTTCCTTTTTTTGTAGTTAAATATTATATTTATGGATATTTAGATGCTCTGATTATATGTATTTTTTGTTTCCTGACATGATCATTTCAGTATATAACTTTTGAACTGTGATAACATTCACCAAAGAAAAACACAAAGATGTTTCTCAGTTTCTTACCAATCTTTGCCTTGTTGAAAATTTTAAAATAGTTCACTTGAAAGAAAAATCAAGGGGCTGGGATTGTAGCTCTGTGGTCGAGTGCTTGCCTAGCATGAGAGGAGCTGGATTCTATCCTTAGCACCACATAAAAATAAATGAATAAAAAGGGTATTGTGTTCATGTACAACTACAGATATATTTTTTAAAAAAGATAAGACCAAAATAGTATGGATCTATAGGATATTAGTTAAGAATTCTGATTACCTGATAGTACCAGGAATCCTTTCTATAGTAGACCTGTGCTAATTCCTTGTAACATAATTACTAGCACCTGAAAATACCATGGTGACCACAGGCAAATCTCCTTCTCCTTTTTTTAGACAGTGTTAGATTTGATTCCTATATTTTTGCCACCACTTTAGCTTTGGTGGCATTCGAATGGTTTTGGAGGCCTCTTATGTCATTTGGGATTCTTGTGGAATTAATATCTTTTAATAGTCATCGTTTCCTTGAAGTTTAGAAGTATGTTCCTATCTTTAGGGGGATAACATTGCCAATACATGTCTTACAATCTTCATTTTTTTGTTTGGAACTTGAGTTTTAAAAGATGCCTAAGAATCTTTCCCTGTTACATCAGATTTTATCTGAAATTCGAATAGTTTTAAATATACCAAGAAATATGGACTTTAAAAGCATGGAATTAGGAGGTGAGGATGGGGCTCAGTAGTAGAGTGTTCAAGGCTCTGGGTTCAGTCACCAGTACCAACCCCACAAAAGCATGGAATTAGAATCTTTCTGTAAAGGCAGTGGTAACTCTATCTTTGTAAATAATTTCTACCTCAAATTAATTGCCTTTTGACTTAGGTAAGGTTATAGGGACAGGTGAAAATCTCATTAGTATAAAGTAACAAGGGGAGGGAAGTTCTGTAGTCAAGACTAATTATTTAAAATTTTCACTAAACTGGGTACCTTGGCACACACCTGTAATCCCAGAGACTTGTAAGGCTGAGGCAGGAGGATCACAAGATCACAAAATCAAGGCCAATCTGAGCAATTTAGCAAGGCCTTGAGTAATTTAGCGAGACCCTGTCTCAAAATAAAAAGGGCTGGGGATGTCACTCAGTATGGAGCATCCCTGGATTCTATCCTCAATACCAAAATAAAAATATAATACTTATTGTCTTTTTTTTTTGAAATTTCATAAGTTTTTTTTAAAAAATCCATTCTTCTCTGAATAGCAACTTCAGATTGTTATATACAAAAATGTTAATTCCTTACAAATTTTCTTTCTTTGTAGACCATACCCTTTTGTTTTATTCTACTCAAAATTTCATGGGCTAGAAATGTGTGTTGACGCAAGAACTTTTGGGAATGAGGCTCGATTCATCAGGCGTTCTTGTACACCCAATGCAGAAGTAAGCTTACTGACATCTTTTGGGAAGTGTTGTGTGGAATTTGAGCATTAAGTACAAAAGTCTAATAGTTTAGAATACTTTAATTCTTTGCTCATCGTCTTCCTGTTGTAAAAATTTAGGTGGTAACAAATTATACATCGAAGAAATTGTGATGTTTCTTATAAGAGGGAATATTGGACTTTTTAAATCCTAGAAAGTCTATTTAATGGGTAAATATGCTATGATTTTATCACGTTAGATGATAAAGCTAAAATAGATTGTATGTTACTATAAAATTTTTAATGCTCTATTTTAGGGTGGAATATAAAATACTTTTGTTTTCTATATGCCAAAATACACATTTTTAATTTTATAATTACATTTTTAGCTGGAACATTATAAGTTTTGGAGCCAGTCTCGCCTTCTCTGTGGCTTATTAGTTTTGCAACTTTATCCATGCCTTATATTTATCTATCAAAATGTATTATTAAGGAATAAAAGTATTGTGCAAATTATCTAGAAGAGTGTGTGTCACACAGTGTTAGCTGTACCACTATTGCAATTCCTCAAAACTAAAATGCTATCACTTGTAAGACTACCAATTTCAGACATGCTAAAAAGAGAAAAAAATATGCATTAGAAAATAGTTATAGTTTTATTTTTTGTTTTGGATGCCAGGTGGTAGTCTGTGGGGTAGGCAAATTGGTTGAAGGCATTGATATACTTTTGAAAAATCTTCCCAGTTGGTAACCAATGATCAATAAGTCTTAATAATTAATGGTACTTTCCCAAGTTGTGGTTATAATGTACTTTTACTAATAGCTTTGTAACTTGCAGGAGAAGGTGCTTTTAAAGATAGAAAATGGTTTACAGATGTGTTAAATTATACTTTTAACAGGTGAGGCATGAAATTGAAGATGGAACTATACATCTTTACATTTATTCTATACAAAGTATTCCAAAGGGTACTGAAATTACTATCGCCTTTGATTTTGATTATGGGAATTGGTAAGTTCAAGTTGGTAAATAAATCATCTGTTGCTTCAAAGTAGTTCTTTAATGTTCATGTAATAATTTAGGTATTATTATTGCTTTTATAACTTATTTATCATGAGGCAGTTAAAAAGTACTTGAAAATAAGCATTTTGGTATTAGCTTTCATTATTGCTGTTTAAACATTTACAATGTATAATTACTAATGCTAATTTCAGCAATATGCTATTGACTTTATTAGGTTAGAATTTTTTCTTCACTTTCTTGTATTTTAGGGGGTACGATTTTAGTTTTACAATTTACTTGGTTAAGCGGATGAATAATTTCTAATTTGCCTCTCAAGACAAAAAAAAAATTGCATCAAATTTTCTTTGTGGTGTAAATTGAAAGGGTTTGTAGAAGAACCTCCAAGAAACATATTCTGAAACACTAAGAAAGAAACGTGCTCTGAATATAAAAACTTTAAATTTAAAAATTTTAATATACAAATATGAATACAAATCCATGTACTTCACAGACTAATAGAACACTACCCATTGAAGCCTCTTAGATTTAGCAGAGTGTATCACCCTTCTTTACATTTCTTTAACATTTTGTGGTTTTTATGTCATCAAATAGTATTTAGAATTTTGTGTTATCTTTAAATTTTATGTTCATTGTAACCTACTACTTTCTTCTGCATTCTATCTTTTCTTTCATTACATGAGATAAAACTACAGTGTTGTATGTAGGCTCTAATTCATTTATTTTTACTGCTAATGGCTTTTCTCTCTTCCATTACTGATGGATCTTTTTATTTATCACAATATGTTTCTGTGACTTTTTGAATATGTATGCATTTGTACATGTTCTCTCTGTGGTAGGGAGAATGCACAGAATGTTTTAGAATGTGCAGTTTTTAACCAAAAGTGAATTAGTGAATTGCTTTCCAAAGAAACTTTTTTTAAAATACTTTCCTAAGCAGTTTAGTTCCTTTCTAATTCTTTAGTATTAGGACTTTAAAAATTTTTACTAATCCATGTGAAATGGTATCTTTACATTTTTATTTACCATTTTCTTTGATTATTTGTGACCAAATATCTTTTTCTTTCATTTTTTTTTTCCTTTCCCTTTTCTGTTTTGGTGGTGCTGGGGATTTAACTCGGTGTCTTGTGCATACTAAGCACATACTGTTCTACTGAGCTCTACCCAGCTCCCAACTATCTTCTTATGTGTTACCATTTGGACTTCGTCTTGCTAATTGCCTAATCATATCATCTGACCCTTTCTCTGCGGTGCAGTCTTTTTCTGTGTTCTTTATATTATTCTGTAGCCTTTGGGGTTATAAGCATCTCAGTTCATTTTTCTGTATTTTTAAAAAACTGTGTTATGTGCTTTTTAAATGCAGATTTTTAAACAGTGTCCATTATGTTTTCTCTCAATGTGAAATTCCTTTTCCTTCAGTATTCATCTCTAATAATTATTGGAAACAGACTTATCATAATAATTTCAGCTTTTCTTTTTTAAGTCCTTTCTACCCCTAGAAGGTGGAAAATTTAACATAAAGACTCTTTCCATATCAATTTGGGAGATTGTACATCTCATTGAGATTAAGAATATAAATTTTCCATAATCTGTCTGTTTTCAAATCCTAGCCCGGTTATTTATGATCTTAGACCAGTGTGTTCAGCTCTCTGTGCACCATTATCTCAAGTATGAGAATAATAATTCTCTCCTAACAGGAATGTTTGAAGATTTAATGAGCTAACACATGTAAACAAACCATTTAAAACAGTTTCTGGCACAAAGTAACTGCTTGATTAACATATCTGGTTGGGCATGTTATAATCCCCATAATTTAGGAATTTGAGGCACGAGGATCTCAAGATCAGCCGCAGCAATTTAGCAAGACTATGTCTCAAAATTTAAAAACCAAAACAAAAACCAGGCTGAGGATATAGCTTAGTAGTGACAGAGTACCCCTGGATTCAATCCCCAGTACCATAGGAAAAAAATATTCATACATATGTAAATAAGTAAATAAAAGCTGTTGCTATCATTAAAGAAACCTGGTTATTGAAATAATTCTTTATAGAGTATACAAACTAGTTAAGTTTTAGTGTTTTTATACCTGGCATGTTTTTTATTTAGGTCAAATTTCAAGTCAGTATTTTATAACACTCTGGGATTACTGAAGAAATTATGGGTTTTACTTTAATGTTAATTTGTATAACTAACAGTATCATTTTACTTTAAAAAACTCAAGAGTTTTAATTTATTGGTTTTTTTTTCATTTTATATATTATAAGACCCAGTTGGTAGTCCAAATTCAACATTTGTTATTAGCAAATAATATTTCTTTTGTGATAGTAGTCAGAAATACAAATTAGTTGAAAAGTTGAAGATTAAAGTCAATGATTGTGTATAATTTTGTGAAGTTGCATCTTAAAATGAATAAGAAATTTCCCAATTTTTTTTAATATCTTGAATAAATATTTATTTGGATATCATTTCAGTAAGTACAAGGTGGATTGTGCCTGCCTCAAAGACAATCTAGAGTGCCCTGTTCTGAAACGTAGTTCTGAATCTACGGAAAATATCAACAGTGGTTATGAGACCAGAAGGAAAAAAGGAAAAAAAGACAAAGATATTTCAAAAGAAAAAGATACACAAAATCAGAATATTACTTTGGATTGTGATGGAACAGTCAACAAAATAAAGAGTCCAGAAACAAAACAGAGAAAGCTTTCTCCCCTGAGATTATCAGTATCAAATAATCAGGTATCAAACTCTACTGATTCTTAATGAAGTTAATTTGTCATATTTTTGCCCTTTTTAAATGTAAAGTTTCTTAACAATTTTTAAGTCCATTTTGATGTTTAGTGAAGTGTAAATACAAGTTCTGTTACTATATATGTAACATTTGTTAAAAATTATTAAGAGCTGGGCATGTGATCCCAGCCGTTCAGGAGGATGAGGCAGGAGGAACCAAGGGCAGGCTGAGCAACTTGGCTTAAAACATAAAAAGGACTGGGGATGTGGCTTAGTGATTAAGCACCCCTGGGTTCAATCCCTGGTACTGTAAAAAGAAATAGCCAACAAATCACTGCAGAATTGAAGATAAGATTTTTCCCAGACTAGAAAATTAGCGAATCCAGCTAGTGCTTTATGAGAATTTGGGCTTATACTTCTTCCCCATCAGGAAATATGTGTTATTGGCTCTCAAAATAGAGATTAGGTTAAGAAATGTTTTGCTCATTAAGGGGCCCTATATTCTAATAATTTCCCTTAAGTTTTAAATCTAAAATTTACCTAGTGCTTCATATTTGCAGGTTTTATGAAAATTTTGTTTTGGGAAGAATATAAACAAAAGTCCATGCTATTGAGTTTATGAATAGAACTTTAGAAAGCAAAATTATTTGATGGCATTCAAGAAAGCAGTTTTAAGATGGCTTGTAATTTTTATATTTAGTTGTGGTTAAAAGACTTTTTAAACAGTTTGATGTCAAGAGTTTATAGATGGAGTAACAGTTTCTTTATATAAGAAGTCATTTCCATCTTTCAGGAACCAGATTTTATTGATGATATAGAAGAAAAAACTCCTATTAGCAATGAAGTAGAAATGGAATCAGAGGAGCAGATTGCAGAAAGGAAAAGAAAGATGGTAAGTTGGGAAGCCATTAGTTGCTTAATGTTATATGGTATTGGCTTAGTGACAGCTACTCTTTCTGTTGTTGCCTTTCCATGGGGCTCTCACACTTTTCTTTGAAGTTAGCAAATTTAGGACACATTATGTGCCATTGAGCATTTTTATTTGGCTTTGTCATTACCATTTAAGTAAATTTCACTAATTCTTTGTATTTTTACTGGTGCTCCTTAGACATTTTAAAATGTATGGCCTTTTAGAAATTGTATGTTTTAGAAATCATTAATATTTTTGAGTCTGAGAACTATTAATAAATTTTAATATTGCAATTACTGTCCAAAATTTCTTTCATTAATGTATCCTTTATCTTAATGATTTGATGTTTAACAATAGATCTTTAAGCTTTTTAATTGTACCAAATAAATGGCTTATGCAAAGCTAAAACAAAAACTCACCACTGGTTTGGTAGCTATTTCTGTTTTATACTGTTATAAAATAACATAAATAAGGTCTTCATTAAAATCAGTTTAGGATTTATATCCTTTGTACTATTTATTTGCAGTTATTTTGTCAGCATAAAAACTAGGACAAGAAATATCCTAAAATTTTAGTGGTAAATAGTTAACTCTATCATTGTATACTTTTTAAGATTTGAAATTATACACACCAACTAATGATCTTCCCCATTCCATTTACTTGTCTTATTTAATGTTCTAGGGGTTTTCAATACTGTTCTCCATGTAATCTCAGGTGCACATGTTGGGGTGGGGTCTTTGTAGACTTGCTTACTGCACATGCATTCTGTTACAACAGTGGCCATCTTTCTATGCTGTGTTAATACTGTGCTTTCTATTGTAAAAGCAACACAGAACTGTTTTCTAGCCTTGGAATTTTAGAATCACTTGTCTGTTGAGACTGGGTAGTATTAGAGATAGAAAAAAAATACAGGTGAAAATTTGGAGGCTGGTTATAAAGGAGGAGTTCCTATATCTAAGGTTATTTTGAATCTTTTAAAAATAAAAATATTTTTTAGTTGTAGTTGGACACAATACCTTTATTTTTATGTGGCACTGAGGATTGAAAGCACCTGGCATGTGCTAGGTGAGTGCTCTACTGCTGAGCCACAAATTCTCTAAAGCCCTTTCTTGACTATTGATCTTTAGTATTGTTTTGTCCATTCCCCAATTGCTTGTATTTCTATTAGTCATGTAGAAACTTTTAGGAGACCAATTTAGAGTATCAATGATTTTCTTAAAAGGGCATGTGTTTCATAGGAAAAGCGTTTTTTACAAATGCCTTAATTTTGAAAAATATCTGAATTTTCTATGTTCATACAGTATTTTTATTCAGATAACATTCTCTGAAATATTTGACTATGGAGCTATTTTTAAAAAGTTAACTTATCCATCAGTGCTGAGAATAATAGTGGAACTTAGAACATTTCCAGATCCCAGAAAAAAATTGGATCTTCTTTTGATGTTAAACTTCAATGAGAAAAAAATATATGCTTAAGCATGATTACCTTTTGGTTCTGATTTAGCTTATTAGCATGCTGTATTAATATAGAATAATTCTTCAAAAATTTTTATATTAATTTGAGTTAGCATATTCATTTGCCTTTAAGGTGACTGTGAAGATGGAAAACTTGAAAAGTATGTTTATAACTAAAAGGACATAAAACAAAACGTAATTTTTTTTCTTTGGATCTTCAGTCCTCAAAGTCATTCACTCTTATTTCTTACTGTATAATTCAAATTTAACGTTTGAATTATAAATTTTTGGATTTAATCAAGTAACATAGAACCACACATTCTAAGGTTCTCAAGCAATTAATATGGTTTTTCCTTACAGGGTRTATTTAGTTTTGAAAATTTTGGTATGATTCAATCTTTATTTTTTCTAGTCTTTGCCATTTATAAGGTTAGATTACAACTAGTAGTTGGAACTGAAGAGTTATATGATAATTCTGTTTGGGGGAATCAACATAGGCTGAATTTTGGGAGTGGGCTATAGGGAGATAGGGTTGGCTATAAACGGTACAAAATGTTCAATGAAGGTTTCATTATGTGGTTAGGATACATGACCCTTTTCATTCTCAGTTCTGTTTCCCCTGATGTTTTGTAATGTTCTTTTATTAACATTTTTATTTTTTCATCCATTACATTGTGTTTCCCCTTTGAACAAAGCAAACTTGTGCCTAAATTGTATGGAACTGAATGGATGGTTAGTGTCCATTTCCTCGTATCTGGCAAGAGATATTGGGAGGAGGTAGTACATTCTAGGCTTGCTCTGCCACTGAACCAGATCACCAGCCCTTGACAGAGACTTCTCTGATGGGGAGTTTGAAATGGCTTGGGAAATTTTGAGCCATTTAAGCTGTGGCCCTGGAAAATACAGAATACTCACTTGATTCCAAAGCTGAAGTACTACAGAGTAGGCTCTCTTTTTGGTACATGTTAAGGTAGGATTAGGGGGCCATAATTAGATGGAGAGAGCAGGTAAAAGGGGAAGGAAAACATGCCTTTAATTGAACAAGCAATCATTTTTAAAGTGGCAAACCTTTTGAAAAATTTAAACAACAAAGATGCTTTTCCTCATTTCTAATTATATCAATAAAACATATTTCTGAAACAATTTTCTGTAAGCACCTTCTTAATATGTTTTGGAGTTTAATCTTRGTAGTACTTGATTATTATAATTTATGAGATTGCCTCAACTGGAGTTCATGGAAGTTATTCAGGGTGGTCTTCACATTAAAAGGACAGAAATTTGAGAAACAGTGTAAGACTATTAAAGGATAATCATATAGCTAGGATCATCTAGATTTAATTATATTTCACTAGAACATGTGTACCTCAAGGGAAAGAGTTTGTACTTTTATTCATTGTCATAGTTCTGACTCCTAGACAGGGAAAAGTACCTAGCTTTTTAAAAAATAGATGCTCAGTAAATGGGCCAACTAAAAGTTCATGACAGCCATTTACAGAGAGAGAGATAGGTTCATGAATGTGAATTACATGAAGCTTATAGCCTAGGTGATGCCCTGTAAGATTTGTCAAGGATTCCCCACAATTTTCTCAGCTCTTGTCCTTCACTGGAGAAAGTATTCCATAAAAGTCTAATTTGTTAAAGAGTGCTTTTAGCTAGTTGGGTTTAGTAAACCTTATGTCTAACCTTTAAGATTCCCAGTATATATTGTATTTTCCCAAACTCTCCTTGTATACTCTTGGAATTTTTTGTGGGTGATACCTGACATCCCACAGATTTTTATACTTATACACACACATACACACGGAAAACACTTATTCAGAATCTATGTTCTTACTACCAATGCCTTTGTAAAACATAGTGAGAGGAAGGTAATTTGTTGCAAGAAAAGTCATCTCATGACAGGACTGTGGTGGGTATCATCTAAATCACTGTTTTCTTCTTAGAGCATGCATAAAGTGATGTTGATTAATTTTCTAAGTTTCTCTCAATCATAGTGATTAGGAATTGTATTTCTCAAGATGAGTAATATCATGGTACTGAACAGTAAGAGAGGATCAATTTGTTTTATAGGTATTCTGTACAAACAAAATGAGGGTTTTTTGCTTTAGCTGCTTTATAATAAATTTGATTCTCAAAATCCTTTGAATGCTTCCAGTTATGTTTTCACATAAGTGACACATTTTATAGAATATACATGCCCATTTCTTAGTGGTTTAATAAAAATGTGAATTGACTGCTATATACACCAAGTGTCATTTAAGGTATTAGCTGAGCAAAAATGACAAGGTTACTGCTCTGGAGAAGCTTTCATGGAGGATGGGGTGCAACTAATCATGACTGTCAAAAGAGGAAACAGCACCAAGTGTRAATTGTCACATGATAGAACAAATGGAGATACCACACAAGCCATCATCTCTCAGCTGCTGTTTGAAAGTAGGGAGTTTTTTTCTGAGTAAGGAGTCTCATTTTAATACCACATAGTAGATTAATTTGGTAGGTGGTCTCTGTCTTTCCATTTATTAAAAGCTTTTTTTTTTCTTTTTCTTTTAACTTAAAACTTGTTTATTTCGAAATTTTCCATTTCACTGTGGACCAAGGATACTAAAAACTAAGTAAAGCAAAACCAGAGGTATGGTAAGACTGCTTTCTAGCCACTGTGAAGACTCCACCAGGCAGTTTCTCTAGGGTCAGGTCTCATACCTTACATTCTGGATGCCACCAAACCAGAGAACTATTTTCAGTGCCCAGCATCTGTTTTAATTTTTTATTTTAAAGAAAGCCACTTCCTCTTAGTAGCAGTTCAGAAAACAATCAGGAATTCCTAGGTGGCTTTCTTCCTTTTTTTTTTTTTTTTTTTTTCCTTAGTTCTTAGACCCAACTACCCTCCTCTAAGGCTACTTAATAGCATTCACAAGTGTTTAAAATTAATTATAATACTTTATTCAGTAAAGTTAATTTTTTTAGTTGCTATACTGTACATTTTAATTCTTGTTTTTTATTATATAGTCTTGAGTCATGTGGACTTTAGGCATTCCCTATCTACTGAGCAGGAAACTCAGATTAAGAATTATACGTCATGGGCTGGGGTTGTGGCTCAATGGTGGAGCACTTGGCTGGAATGTGTGAGGCACTAGGTTCAATTCTCAGCACCATACACAAATAAATGAATAAAGGTTCATCAATGTCTAAAAAAAATTATGTCTGTTACAAAAATTAATTACATTCCATTTTTACTCCAATGTGCTTATACTTTAAAGTGTATATAATTGAAATAAAAATTCCCAATACCCACACCTCAACTAATAGGGATATTATGAAGCAGACTTTTTTGTTCTGTTTATAAGAAATTATAATACTCTTATTTACTGTTATGAATAAAAACCATGATCAGATGAAACACATGGGAGATTCCATGTACTTTAAGCAGTAACACCTAACACTTGGCATTAACAATATGTCAAAAGTTAGCAGTTTCCTGAAAGTAACCCCTCACCTCTTTTTTCGAAAGTAACCCTATCTAATTCTGTTTCAGGATCTATCAGTTCCCATGGCTTGAAATGAATTATGGTTACAGACTATAGCATCACAGTAGTAACTCTATGTAGTTAATATAATCTGAACTGTACCTGTCACAGGTTTTAGGAGCTATGGGCAGTTGACTAGTGTCTATAGTCACCTATAACTACCTCAGCTTTATTTATAAGTTATTTTTCAATCAGATTTTTAAATGGGTGACAAATTTCCAGTTATTTATTTTTAAGTATACCCAGTTTTATGTCAAAGAATATATTAGATGCAATGATGAATGACATAAGAACCTTAAGGAATTTAAAAGTAGATCCATGTACTAATAATTTATCAATGTAGAAAACCAGTCATGTTTACACTCCCAATATTTGTATATTTTAAGATAAAGCTAGGTTAATGTTATTAAGAAATGTTTAGTGTTTTCAGCTTCACTACAAACACAGCAATTATTGTAATGCAGGAAAACTTATGCTGTATTTTGTTTTACATTACATAGTATGTAAGTGGTTGTTAATTGGGAAAAAGGTTAAATTATAAGCTAGGAAAGTTGCATAATAATTATGCAAAGGTCCCACCTTTGACAGGGTCACTTAATCTAGAGGGATTTGGGTTTCTTCTGTAGTACAATACTACATTTTTAAAGATCCTGTCCAGCTTTAAAAGATTAAACCATCTCTCGGGGATTTTGCTTTAATGATCAAATAGTTGTACCTGTATAAATGGAAATTACATATTTATTTGAACAAGTTTGGGTCAGTTTTCTTTACATAATTTCATCCCTGACCCTCACTCTTATAGGGGAATGTTGAACTAAGTCAAAGAACCATAGTGTAAATTCATAACTATCATGCCAGGTATGATGATACATGTTATTCATCTATTCACTTACTGAGAAGGGTAAAGCAAGACCACAACTTTAAAGCCTGATTGGGCAACTTAGCAAGATCCTATCTCAAAAATTAAAAAAGGGCTGGGGATGCTCAGTGGCAGAGTGCCTCTGGGTTCAATCCTCAGTACAACAAAAAAGATAAAAAAGTATCTTCTTTGGTGCCTCCCTTTTGATAATTTTTTTCTTTGACAAATATAATATTTGCTAAGACAAGTTTCTTTTTCTAGGAAAATATACTTTTTGCGAATATTAAAACATTTTTGAGAGAGGAAACCATAGTAATTAACCTCCAGTTCAACAAGTGGAAGCTATTTAGAGTTTTGGAAAAGCCCTGATATACAGAGTCAGCATTTTTATAGAAAAAAAGAGGTTAGGTAAGTTAATTTAAAGGACCAGAAACATGAAATTAATTCCCTCAGGCAAGAATTTGGCTTTAAAACTTGCAGTTCCAATGAGCACATAATGTCATCTTTTGAGCTGAGCATGGTGGTGGCCTGTAATCCCAGCCACTTGGGAGGCTGAGGTAGGATGATTGCAAGTTCAAGGCCAGTAATTTAGCAAGGCTCTAAGCAACTTAGTGAGACCCCCATCTCAAAAAATAAAAAAGGCTGGGGATGTGGCTCAGTGGTTAAGCACCCCTGGGTTGAATTCCCCATTACCTAATAAATTAATCATCTTTTGCCTGTATAGTTTTTTAAGTGTTTGATTACCACCCTGGACCAGAAGAGCTAATGAGATGGATAAATTTGCAGAAATTTATCCATAAACAAATAATCTTACCTCTTTGGACTATTTCCTTGCCTGTAGAAAAAAAAAAAAAGTTGAGGACAAAATATTTTGTGTCACATTTGCAGTATGGCTATTCGCTGTAAAAGTATCCTCAGATGGTTTGTTTGACACATTCTACTTTCGTTTTCTTACTAAGTGTAACAAAAAAGAAAAAACACAGAAAAAGCAGTAATTTTCAGAGTATAGGTGTCTTAATGCTTGAATCTCTGCTGATTACTGAAGCGCCAATATTGACAAGACTTTGGCAGCCAGATCTTGAGTTTCTGATCTTTCTTTCTTTCTTCCCCACATCGATGACAATGAAGGAGGAAAGACAAATGGATCTGAGCCTCAGGACCTGGTTCTTTCATTTGGAGAACTGGACAGTTGATGGACGTGCTTCCTGGTTCTGGTTGAGAGCTGAAGCATTTGCCAGGCCCTCTGGTCAAGGCTCTGGGTCTTGGTTTTAATGTTCTCTATCCAAAGAGAACTGATGCTCAAAGGAACTCTTGCTGTTCCCTCAGTCCCTGTCTTGAAGTGTCAGTTTAAGAAAGGAAGAGCAGAAGGTAGAGGAATGCCTTACAAGAGTTAAAATGGAGGGCAAGAGGGCTAAAGTAGAAATAAAAATATTTATGGAACGCCTATCAATTTCTAAGTACTGTTTAAAACCTCACATTTTCAGTTTGAACTAAATAATAATCCAGTGAAGTGTAAGTATTATTATCCACATTTTATAGCCTCAGAAAGGTTAACTAACTTGCTTAGAATCATGGAGATGTTTACTAAATGTACCCCCACAACATCCTGCTAAAACATAGCAAAAATATATTGACTGATTTCTTAAGTGCATAGGAATTTTGCTTTTTCACATACCATTACTTTAGGAATTTTGAATTTTTTTAAAGGTTGGCTTCTGTATTTAAAATTTTTTTCAAGTTAGTGTAAAGCATGGTCATTTTTGAGACTTTTTGTTTTGTTTTATCCTTATCATTAGCACTCAGTCAAGTGTTCTTTTCATGAAATAGATTTGTAATAATAAGGCTTACTGAGATGATGTTTGGGATTTTTAGATTTTGAATGAATATAAATTGTTTTTCCCCTATATCTAATAACAACAGACTTGGTTTGCTAACAGTATCATAGTAAAAAATTTTATAATTTTCCCGTACATCTGATCTGGACTTTAGAATATTTACTTCAGAGCAATGACTAATAAAATTGAAATCTTGTAGACAAGAGAAGAAAGGAAAATGGAAGCAATTTTGCAAGCTTTTGCCAGACTTGAAAAGAGAGAGAAAAGACGAGAACAAGCTTTGGAACGGATCAGCACAGCCAAAACTGAAGTTAAAACTGAATGTAAAGATGCACAGCTTGTCAGTGATGCTGAAGTTATTCAGGTATTATTCAGGTTTAGTTTTATGTTCCCATTTAAACTATTTCAAATAAAATTTCCATTTGGGCATGGTGGCACAGGCCTATAATCCCAGTGACTTGGGAGGCTGAGGCAGGAGGAGCTCACATTTAAGGTCAGCCTTAAACGTGAGACCGTGTCTCAAAATAAAAAGGACAGGGAGTGTGGCTTAGTAGCAGAGTTACCCCTGGGTATACAAACCAACAAATTTACATACACAATTGAGTTAAATCTGTAATAAATTTTTAATTGTGCAGTTTTTAGGTCTGATGGGAAACTTAAGACTTAGAATTTAACACTATACTACTTTGTTTTTGAGTAATAACATTTTTAATTATGTGAATTATGTGAATTCATAAATTTTGTCAAGTTAACTTCTGAAGTAGAAGTATCTATAAACATAAAATTCCATTGTATTGTATTTTGAATTAGGAACAAGTAAAGGAAGAAACTGCTAACAAGCCAACCCCTGCCAAAGTGAATAGAACAAAACAGAGAAAAAGTTTTTCTCGAAGTAGGACTCACATTGGACAGCAGCGTCGGAGACACAGAACTGTCAGCATGTGTTCAGATATCCAGCCATCTTCTCCTGATATAGAAGTTACATCACAACAAAATGATATCGAAAATACTGTACTTGCCATAGAACCAGAAACTGAAACTGCAGTAGCAGAAATAATTACTGAAACTGAAGTCCCAGCACTTAATAAATGTCCTACAAAGTACCCCAAAACAAAGAAGGTATGACTCTTAATGAATTTAAGAACTGTTTTCCAAGTCTTGTGCTATTAAATGGTTATATTGGTGTTTAGAAATCAGTCTATAACTTATCTCATAATGAACTGCACAAGAGGCAGCATCATTTTTATGCAGATCTTTTTGAGTAAGAATGAAAAATGAAGTGTAAAATCAAATAATCAAATACTATGTTTGCATTATTGTAAAGATGATAAACTATATCAAGACTTTTACGTTGCCCTATGTACAAAATTTATATTTCTCCAACTARTTTTAGATGGGTTACAGTACAGCCCTACCTGGTGCTGGGGACTGAATCCAGGGCTATTTGGTAAGCAAGTAGTCTACCACTGAGCTACATCCCCAGTCCCTATCTTTTATGGTATTTTTTATAAATTCCATTGCTTAGATTACAAGAAATAAATGTGATGAAATTATTGATTTCAATAGAATGTAGTAAGAATATGAATGTAGTAAGAATTTAGTAAGAAAGTAGTTTTATATCAAATTATTAATAAAAATCTTTGGAAATGCACTGTCAGAGTTAACAAAGTAATTATTTGGAAACTAATCACTAAATTAAACCAACCTGGGCTTTTCAGCCAGAAACGTAACAGAACAGCTTTAATGAAGCTGCTATTTTATCCCACTGAGATTAAAGGACAAAACACTGGTACCAAAGTTGTCATTTTTTAGGCTCTTTGGGAAGGGAATAGATCATAAATTATTACATCTTCCTTTCACTAAATATTTTGAAACTTCATTTATTTAGTTTTGTTTTTATATAATTCAGGCAGGCTGCTAAATGAAGAAAAGTTTATTCTACTGTGAACCAGGGATTATACTTCAATAACAGATGTTAATTTACTTGCCAGAGAGTCAAAGGTTTGAGATCAAAGTGTTTCTGATTCAGAGTCAGTGCTTTCCTTATTGCACACCTACCTAAGGCAGTAAGCCAATCTTGTCTTTAATAGTGTTACTTTTGCCCACCTTGGAAGGACAAAAAATAATTTCAACTTATTTGTAATGAGAATAGGAAAAAAAAAAAACTTGGGATTTAAAACATGTGAAACTACCTTCTAGACTACAAATGACATAAACCCTGCCTTTTAATTAGTAAATGACTAAATTGTTCTGGTCTAAGAGTAGAAGTTAACTGTATCTCTCTGGTGTGAAATGTAAGCTTCTAAATCCTGTATGATTCTCTTCAAAAATCTGTCAAACAGTGCCAAATTATGACTCCCTATAAATACCTTCTTCAACTTAATAATACATAATTCTTTGCCACATAGCATTCTGAGAGCTTTATATGTGTTTCTTAAAAACTCATTTAGTCGTCACAACACTTTTGTAGAGCTAAGTTCTGTTACGACCCTTTTTTTAGTTACATAACTTGCTCATAGTCACAGTATAAGTGGCAAAGACAGGATCATTCCCTAGCAGTCTGGTTCTAGACTTCATATGTTTTAGCACTATGTTCTGTTGTTTGTCCTACAAAGGAGCTATATACACACACAAAAAAGAGGGATACTTCTGAAAGATAGGAGCTATGTACTAGGGATTGAACCCAGGGGCACATTACCACTGAGCCACATCCCCAGCCCTTTTTTGGGGGGGGCAGAGGGTACCCAGGATTGAATTTAGGGGCACTAAGCTACATCCCCAGCCTTTGGGATTATAGGCATGTGCTGGCGCACCTGGCATCCTCAGCCCTTTTTAAGACAGGGTCCCACTGAGTTTCTTAGGGCCATGCTAAATTGCTGCTGTTGGCCTTGAACTTGTGGTCCTCTGGTCTTAATCTTCTGAGTTGTTGGTACTATAGGTATATCCCAATGACAGATTTTTTTTTAAATGTGCATATTTCTGTATGTTTATATAATTGTATGTGTAAATGTATATATGCACATACATGCCTTTTCTATAATCTACATTTGTAATATGAAATTCAAAGGATTTTATTTGATAACCAGATAAACACGAATACCCAGAAAGCAAAAAAAGAAATTACCAAGAATTAAGAAAAGGACTAAGTAAGCCAGGGGTAGTAACACACACATATAATCCCAGCTACTCAGGAGACTGAGGCAGGAGGATTCAAAGTTTGGAGGCCAGCCTGGCAACTTAGGCCCTGTCTCAAAATAAAAAGGGCTGAAAATGTAGCTCAGCACTAAAGTGCCCCTGGATGCAACCGCAATTTATCTCTTAGTACTATTAAGAGTTTTATTCTTGAGTACAAAAACTGACCTCATCTCTAGGATACTGTGAGGAGCGTCTTGGGTAGAAAAATGCTACTTAACATTTTAAGCATATAATAAAGGCAGCAACAAACCTGAACTTAGTGTTGGTGGTACTGATGTCTCCTAAATTTTACAGTATTAAAAAACAGTGTTACAGGTAGCTCAGTGGTAGAACATACAGATAGATGCCCTGCATTCAATCTCCAGCACCACACAAAAAAACTTGTGTAAAACATTTCAAGAATAAAATGAAATGTACAATGATATACTGATTTTTGGTCATTGCATGTATATATCAGTTTCTACTTTGCCTAAGAATATTCTGTGGGAGAATCTGTGCAATTAAATATATAGTGACCCCAATTTTCCTTTTCTCTAGCACTTGGTCAATGAATGGTTAAGTGAGAAGAATGAGAAGACAGGAAAGCCTTCAGACAGCCTTTCAGAAAGGCCTCTGCGTATAACTACAGATCCAGAAGTGTTAGCTACACAGCTCAATTCTTTACCAGGCCTCACTTATAGTCCCCATGTATACTCTACACCTAAGCATTATATTAGATTTACTTCACCATTCCTTTCAGAAAAAAGGAGAAGGAAAGAACCTACTGAAAACATTTCTGGCTCATGCAAAAAGGTAAACTTTTCTTTCAATATAAAAATCTAGAATGAGCCAAATGTTACTCTCATTCCTTGCTACCATTCCTGGTAGTGAAATGATTTTGGAATTGGCTCTGCATTTATAGGCTATATGAACAGGTACGAATCCTATTCATTTATTTCTCCATCTCTCCATTTTACTCTCCATTTTATTCAGCGATGGTTGAAACAAGCTCTAGAAGAAGAAAATTCAGCAATTTTACACAGATTTAATTCACCCTTTCAAGAAAGATCCAGAAGTCCTACAGTCAATGGTGAAAATAAAAGTCCACTACTATTAAATGATAGCTGTTCCCTTCCAGGTAGAATTTCTTTTTAGTATTGTTTTAACATGAGAAATGTGTCAGGATATACACCTTTCTAACAGGCATAGTCTCTTTACTCTTGTGTACTTTAGCAGAGAAACACATTCTGATAAACCTTCTCATTTCTGTTCTCCTTTCTCATTTCTGTTCTCCTAGCCTTTTAGAGGAAGATAGATAAAAAAAACCTTGCTATGTAATATGGTGTATGTTTGCRTTTACGGTTGAATTTCTAATGGCTTTGTTTTGGCTTTGGGGCTGGGTGATTTCAAACAGATTCAAAAGGACTCTTAGAAAAACCTATCAGTACTTACATGATTTCTTTGAAACTTCTAGTCCTATAAGCATTCAGCAGGACAATGCTTGCTAATAGTGAAATTCACTTATTTGGGTGTGGGGAATATTTCATATATTTTTTTTTAATGTTTAGTTTTGTGGTGAAAGTCATCATACTAACTATTGATGAGATTTTCTTTCCCAGAATGTAATACATTATATATTACAGACTTATAGTAATTCTAACAGATTATTATCTCACCAACAGATTTAACTACACCACTAAAAAAACGAAGACTTTATCAGTTGCTAAATTCTGTTTACTCAGAAACCTCCACACCTACTCCTTCACCATATGCTACACCAACTCATACGGATATTACTCCTATGGACCCATCATTTGCCACTCCTCCACGGATAAAATCAGATGATGAAACTTGTAGAAATGGATATAAACCTATATATTCACCAGTTACTCCAGTAACTCCTGGTACACCAGGAAATACCATGCACTTTGAGGTGAGAAATTTCAATGAAAAAAAATTTTCAACTCTTGGTTTTTGAGTTTCATTAAGAACTTGCCCCACACTTCCTCTAACAATTAGTGTGCTGAGAATATAAAATAAAATTTGGGAACATATATTCATATGAATTTAAACATTTTTATTCAATGTTTAACTTTCCTCTTAATATATACAGTAGACTAAATGTATCAAATTGACCTGAAAGCAAATATCTTGAGGARTGGAAATAAATAAAGTCTAACACCAAAATGTTTCTAATTTAAAGTTTTCATTTATAAAAACATCATATATTTAGTTCATGTATTTTAATTTTCAATTCCCATTATTCCTTTTATATAGAATATTTCTTCCCCAGAAAGTTCTCCAGAAATAAAGAGACGCACTTACAGCCAAGAGGTGAGCTGTTATTAAAAAAAAAAAAAAAAGTTGCTGATTGTTTGGGTAATATCATTGTTTTGCCTAAATTACTAGTAGATTTTGAAGTAAACAGTCTCAATATCATTATATGACTTTTTTTTTTTTTTAATTCTGTAAACAGGGATATGAGAGATCTTCAACCATCTTAACTTTGGGGCCTTTTAGAAATTCTAGTTTAACTGAGTTGGGTCTGCAAGAAATAAAGACCATTGGTTATACCAGCCCTAGAAGTAGGACTGAAGTCAACAGGCAGTGCCCTGGAGAAAAGGAACCTGTGTCAGACCTTCAACTGGGACTGGATGCAGTTGAGTCAAGCGCTTTACATAAAACAGTGGAAACACCTGCACATGACAGGACTGAGCCTAACAGCCAACTGGATTCGACTCACTCTGGACGGGGCACAATATATTCTTCCTGGGTAAAGAGTCCTGACAGAACAGGAGTTAACTTCTCAGTGAACTCCAACCTGAGGGACTTGACACCCTCACACCAATTGGAGGTTGGAGGAGGCTTCCGAATAAGTGAGTCAAAGTGCCTGATGCAGGATGATACTAGAGGCATGTTTATGGAAACAGCTCTGTTTTGTACTTCCGAAGATGGGCTTGTCTCTGGTTTTGGACGGACCGTTAATGACAATTTGATCGACGGGAATTGCACACCCCAGAATCCACCACAAAAGAAAAAGGTTACAAATTTAACGATTTATAGTCCTTTCATAGTGTTTCTTAGTATTAATATTGAGGGTAATTGATGTATTATGTAAGGCATTCCTAATTCAGTTATTTGAGTTAAAATTTTTATGTGTACATTTTCCCCAGATTATCTGTACATTTTAAAACACTTTGTAAATATTCAAATGTTCACAGAAAAGTGAAAAATTCTAGTGCTATGAATTGTCCTTGTTAAGATATTGAGATTTCTCTCAAACCCATATATCAGTAACTTAGAAGTAACCCCCCTCATTCAAAAGAAATGAATAATTTTATTCTTTTTAACCTTATATTAAGCAAGCATCCTTGTAATTGAATACATGTTCCTTTCAACATCCCATAATACTATTTACACCATGGACATAAGTATTTTGTAAAGTATGATACTGATAATATTATACTGTGATACGCAAGTTCCATGATTTACCACCATTATTTCATTAGCAGACATTTTGTGACGATTTAGAATGCCTTATTTCAGAGGAATGGGAGAAACTACATACAGCACTTATTTAATTTGTTAATAGGCTTATTGCTTTACAAGTCAAAGAATTTTAGTGATGTGTGCTTTTAATTTTTATAACAGAGTCCAGTTGGCAACTTTGTGGGAAGCAATGTAGTATAGTGGAAAGAGCACGGGCTTTCAAGTAAGACCTAGGTTCGAATCCCGGCTCCAACACTCACCAGCTGTGTGACCTTGAGTGAGTGAGTTACTCAATTTCCTCATCTGTAAAATGGGGATGATAATATTCCTATTTCATAGGATTGTTGTGAGGATTAAATGAGATAATGTATATGAATCATCTAAGTACAATGCCTAATATATAGTGGGCATTTGATAGTTAATTATTTCTTGAGAATCAAATTATTTTATGTAATTTTCTTAATATAAATAAAATAATTTTCTTTAGAAAAAAGAATGAATTGATTCTGTTATGAAAGACAAGAATAAAAGATCTGCCTTTTCTTTTTTGCTTAAGGTTTCTCTATTAGAATACCGTAAGAGACAACGTGAAGCTAGGAAAAGTGGCTCTAAGACAGAAAACTTTCCTCTGGTTAGTATATCACCTCATGCAAGTGGAAACCTGAGCAACAATAGTGATGGGTGTGTCCAAAGTAATGAAACCGGAGAACAGGCAGAAAACACAGCTAGCCTGCCTTTACCAACACCAGCTGCAGTTTATAATGCTACTTCTGAAGAAACCAGCAATAACTGTCCTGCTAAAGAAGCTGCCAGTGAGAAGAATGAACCTGAAGTTCAGTGGTAAGCCTGTTTTGAAATATGCTACTCTGGCAAGAAAAAGATTCCTGCTGTGGTTCTCCCAAGGCTAAGTGGATGGTGACTTGAAACATCTTTGCTGATAGTGTTTTAAACTAGCTGTTTGTTTATTTGCCCGAGTTGTTAAAGGTGTATTGTAATCATTCCTTTATTTATCCACATTTTTCATTCAAATTTTCCTCTTGAAAGAATTTTTGTCACAGTCAACCATTTCTTTAAAACCCCTACCATTACCTTGAAAGAAAAACAGGTTTAGAGTTTTCTTTGGTAGGAGTGTTAGCAATAGCTGTTTTTAAGGTGAGGTCTTGGCAAAGTGGCAAGAGGACACAGTTACTCTGCTTCTTGTTCCTTTCCAAATCCTGAAAGTGTGTAAGGCGTTTTTTGTTTGTTTGTTTGTTTGTTTGTTTTTTGGTTGAAGCATATTTTGGTACCTTTGGTAACCTAAAGTGACTTTCTGAATATTCCTACATTAAAGTTTCCCCCTTCTTCTTTTCATCAACAAATTGGTGGAGGCAAAAAGAATTAGTTATTCAAATAAGTCTCAGTTTGGGGAGCAATTAGCAAAATAAGAGAAGTTCTATTAGCTATTTTCAAAGCTTTAACATGGAAGTATTTTCCCAATAGAGCAAAATCCTTGAACTGAGAGGACATGTGGACCTTCAAGGGACAAAGAATAATCTAACTGGCAGTAGCTTCTTTGAATTAAGGATGAACTAATTTTATTTTAAAGGACTGCCTCCACTTCAGTGGAACAAGTGAGAGAAAGGAGTTACCAGAGAGCTTTACTTCTTAGTGATCACCGAAAAGATAAAGACAGTGGTAAGTAAGCTTGTTCTTTCACCAAAAAGTGGAGACAGCTAGTCACCCTGCACCCTTGTTCTTTGTAAGCTCTAATATTCTCTTTGGTTACTGCTCTGCTTCATCTCTAGGGGGAGAATCACCTTGTGTCTCATGTTCACCGAGTCATGTTCAGTCTTCACCTTCATCTCATTCAAATCACATTTCCCAGTTGCAAGCTAAAGGCCTAGCCCCTTCTTTCAGTGAACTCATGGAAGGTCAGTAAGCAGATGACCTATCATGGCTATATTGTTTTAAACACCTTTTTGAATCAGAAAAAAAGATGCTTTGAGTAATAGAAGGTACATCGTTTTGTGGTGTCAATAAAAGGCAGTATTTTTCGTGTAATGTTACATTTACCATAGTTTCTTCTGTTTTACAGACCCTGACTCTGAAAATCCAGAACCCACAACTACAAATGAATGTCCATCCCCAGATACGTCTCAAAACACTTGTAAAAGCCCTTCAAAAATGAGCAAGGTAATAATAAAGACTTTGAACATGGCCATTCAGAAAAGTTGATGGTAATATGCAGGCAATTTTTTTTCTACTGCATTAAGTATCAGTTTATGATTTCTGGATTCTTCCTTCTGAAAGTACTCAGTTGTGTTTAATATTTTATTTGGTCTGTCACTGAGATTGACAGACAATTTGGATCAAACACTCAAGTTTTCTAGGCAAACTTTTAAAACTTACATTTTTAAAAAAAGTTCACCTCTATTCTAGTGGTATCTAGGAAACTCATAACTTCATGAAATACATACCTAGTCAATTCTCTAAAAACAAAAGGCTAAAAACAAAAGGTCAGGTGACAAATTCATGTAGAGGAATGATAATCTGATGTGTCAGGTAAATCACTGGGAACAGATGATATGGAATCTTAAGATTGGTTTTCGTATCTTAACAACAAAAAGATCTTTTGGATTATTTACGTGTGAACAGTTAGAAGGAAAATGAAAAGGTATTAAAAATCAAAATGGTCCAAGAAAGCAAGTTTATTTACCCAAACCAATCTATGCCCTGGATAGAGTATTCAGTTACGGAACTTAATCCTGAAGAGTGTTGGTTAAAGTAAGACTCCAAAATGGGTCTTTCTCCTTACAGAAAAACACAGACTAATTTCCTCAACTTGTCTTCAGTAAAATTCACTATACACTCACCGGAATTTGTTGAAACCACTCACAGAAACTGGCCTTGCAACATCTCAAGCTTCTATTGTTGACTTCTCAACCCTACATTTCCTTCCCCCTTTTAAAATTTAACATATTAAACCAACAAGAATAAAACTCAAGGTTCATAAAATGTTTCTTAAGTTTAAATATATCAAGTTTATTTGTTTTCTCTTCATAGCCTGGTTCACCGGGACCTGTAATTCCTGCTCAACCACATGGGAAAATACTCACAAAACCAGATCCCCATTGGGAGACAACAGTTATTGTATCAGAAGCTGAGAACAATGTTCACCTAAAAACAGAGCTCCAAMAAAAACAGCTATCAAATAACACCCAAGCACTTTCAAAGAACCATCCTCCTCAGCCACATGTTCGCAGTTCATCTGAGCAACTTTCACAAAAGCTGCCTTCTGCACCAACGAAGTTGCACTGTCCTCCATCACCCCACATAGAAAACCCTCCTAAGCCATCTACGCCTCACACACCTGTACAGCATGGTTATCTCTCACCAAAGCCTCCTGCACAGCAGTTAGGATCTCCCTACAGGCCTCATCATTCACAGTCACCTCAAGTTGGAACCCCTCAGCGAGAGCCTCAGAGAAATTTTTATCCAGCAGCACAGAACCTTCAAGCCAATACTCAGCAGGCAACTTCTGGAACATTATTTACACAGACACCCTCAGGACAATCTTCAGCAACATACAGTCAGTTTAACCAACAAAGTGTGAACAGCACGGCACCACCACCCCCACCCCCTCCGCCTCCTTCTTCGGCTTATTATCAAAACCAGCAGCCCCCTGCAAACTTTCAGAATTATAATCAGCTCAAAGGTAGTCTTGCCCAACAAACTGTGTTTACATCAGGACCAAATCAAGCACTTCCTGGCACCACAAGCCAGCAATCAGTTCCAGGACACCATGTTACTCCAGGGCATTTTTTGTCCTCTCAGAACCCCACCATTCACCATCAAACTTCTGCTGCTGTCGTCCCACCCCCTCCTCCTCCACCACCTGCTCCAGGACCACACCTTGTACAACAGCCGAATTCCCATCAGCAACACTCTGTAGCACATGTAGTAGGGGCAGTTCATGCTGTCACTCCTGGGTCACATATGCATTCTCAAACTGCTGGACACCATTTACCACCACCCCCTCCACCCCCTGGTCCTGCCCCTCATCACCATCCACCACCCCATCCTTCCACAGGACTCCAAGGTCTACAAGCACAACACCAGCATGTTGTAAATTCAGCACCCCCACCTCCTCCTCCCCCTCCTCCGTCCAGTGTTTTGGCTTCTGGGCATCATACGACATCAGGCCAAGCTTTACACCACCCACCTCATCAAGGACCTCCACTTTTTCCTTCAAGTGCTCATCCAGCTGTACCACCGTATCCCTCACAAGCTACACATCATACCACTTTGGGACCGGGACCCCAACACCAGCCTTCTGGAACAGGGCCACATTGTCCATTACCTGTTGCAGGTCCTCATCTCCAGCCCCAAGGACCAAACAGTATTCCAACACCTACTGCTTCAGGGTTCTGTCCTCATCCTGGCTCTGTGGCCCTGCCACATGGGGTGCAAGGACCTCAGCAGGCATCGCCAGTGCCTGGACAGATTCCAATTCACAGAGCACAGGTGCCACCAACGTTTCAGAACAATTACCATGGTTCAGGGTGGCATTAAAATGGACTCCAAAAACATTTTTTAAAATGTTCTGTAAGATAAACTGTATATTTCATATGTACCTATTAAGGTACTTTTTAAAGCTTGTACATGAAACTTTGTATAAAAAAAAAACAAAAACAAAAACCAGTGCTCTTTCATTGTATTTTTCCCATTTTTGCTTTTTAAAATTCCTTAAAAAAAAAAAATGTGCTAAGCCAGTATTAGGTATCTTTATTTTATAAGTGAACATTCCAGCTGTTTTCTGGCAATAGATTTGATGCTACATGATCTTTAAATTTTATTGTTGCAGTTGAATTCATTTAGTGAATGTTTTCTATATTATTTTCTACATATGCATTAAGTACACAGCTAAGTAATGGCACTATGAAGTTTTTTTTTTTTTTTTTTTTTTGGTCAGCAGTTCTATGAGTGCAACTTAGGTATAAAATGCAATACAGATTTTTATAGTTTGGTGTGGACATGGCTCATTTTGTTTTATCAGTTATTTGCAAGCAGAATGTAATTTAATGTATAGATGATTTCTAATGTCTCCTGACAAACTGTAAATACTGCATTTCTTTTGCGTATATAATTGCTTACAGCTTTTTTCATTTGATATATAGCATTGTACATATGACAAGTCTTTTGCAAAACTGTGTGATCTTTGTGAAAGTAGTACAGTATATGACCTTTCATTTCTTTTTTATTTTAAATATACTGTCACATTGAAGCACTGGTTGGGCATTTTAATTCATGTTAATAAATCACAATTATGTCAGTTTTACCAGATTGTCCTGTACAACTTCTAAGATGGGGGTCTGCTTGACTGATTTTATGAGAGTTACAGTTTTCAAATACAATTTGTAAAGAAACTTAAATTTTCTGTAGTGACTACTACCTCAGGAGGAGAGCTAGAGGGAGTAAGAGGTTGTTCCCATCATGGTTTCTACTTGCCATTTATGCAGGAGCAAGAATCACAGGAAATTAAATAGTCATGCTGTGTAAGTCTACTTAAGTATGTGACACCACAATGAATCCAGACCACTACCGATTTACACACGATAAAAAGTTACAGACTGCAATTTACAAGTTATTTAAAAAAAAATTAGTATGCCTAAAAAACAGCAATATCTAATTTGCACATTTTAGAACACGACTGAAATATTGATAAGTGAAACGGGTGTCTTTAAATTTGGCTTGGGTATACAAAACTAAAGGGAAATGGCATTATTTAAGAAAAATAAATGGCCTCTCAAGTGAATTTTTTGTTGCCTAAATATAAAATGCTAGTTMAATTTTGAAAATAAAAATTCCCAGCCTTTGCCTTCTACTTCTTAGGTATACACTAATTAAGTGTATACAATAGCAATGACACTGTTTTTATCAACATTTTTCATCATCCAAATACTTTGACATAATTTGGGCACTATATACTATACATATTTTGTGCATTAGGAGAAAAAAAGTAAATAGACTTAAAAAAATGAATGAGATTTGGTATGTTTTAAGATTTTAATTTCCATTTCCTTTTGAAAATTAGCTGACGATGGTGCATCAATACAGCTTATCTAGAGTTCAATCCTAATGAGCTTTAAGAACAAAGGTCAACTTTGCCATCATTGATCTTCAAACAAAACGCTGCTTATGTTAATGACTAAAAAAACATTTGAGAAGAAATGAGTTTACATCATCTGTCCCTCTCGATAGTTTCAAACACAGCAAAGTTAACTGGCATGTGAAATATCAATATTCATCTCTTTAGAAGGCCCCCACCTAAAGCATTTTTATTCCTACTTTGGCCTACTACAAAACTAATATATACATAAGCTTCTGTGTAAAACCGTGAAACAGTAAATAAATTCTTTGACTCTTTGATGGACACATACATTCTTTAAACATTGTCCTCTACCAAACTTTCATTTTAAAAAAGAGAAAAAAATATGAAATTTTAGGAAATAATATACAGAAATAAACAGTTTCTCTATGCCCATGGAAAGTTCCCATACTTTATCCCATTAATAAGTTATGTATGGTCCAAGTACAGGAAGAAGCAAGTAGTACATCAGTTTTCACCTAAAAGTATATGCCCCTTTGAAGTTCTTAATATCCATTTGTTCTTGGCCCTTGAGCAGTACTGTTGGCCAATGTGCAGACAGCCAGGTTCTGAACTGGCTATAATCCCCTATGTGATCCACTGCTTGCAACTTTCCATGAAGACTTCACATGGACCACAGGAAAAAAGATAGGATATTCAATGAAGTTCACTAAGCAGGCTACAATATTTAGCACAACTAGTGGTTCTCCTTTGCCTTGTATGCATTCTTTATCAACAAGCCACCAAGAATCTGTTAAAACCATATAGTTCCTAATACAAATGTAATTCCTTCTAGAACAACTGTTTCTACATAGAAAACAAGTTAGTATTTAGGCTATTTTATCATAAGGATACCACCTTAAAATTAGTTTTCTTCCTAACATGAACTAAAACTGCATTAGACAAATTTCATTCAAGTATACTCTAACCTTCCAGAAAATTCTTACCCAGAGGACACATATGTACTCTGGCTCCTGTAAAAATGTTTCCAGTGCAATTCGTGCATAATAGCATCACTGGTCATAGAATCTACACGGAAACCTATAGCCTCACTAGAAAAACTTAGCATGAAGATCTCGTCAATGAATGGTTCATTCTACCTCACAGCAACATAAGATATAATGCCAGTTCCTAAGAGGATTGTCTCTCTCATTCCCTCAGAGTGAATGCTGTTAAGGAAAATTTGAGAAGTTTAAAATGCAGTTAGTATGTTTTTGATGAAACATGGATAAAAAAGATGACAAGTTGAAGGTAATGAATCTATACTGTTATCATCTTTCCTAAATACTTTCTGCCCTCAAAAATAAATGATTTCCTTATAATAAGCTTTAATGCATGTTCTACAACTATATATGCTGCAGCAAGAATGTTGGTATTCTTTTTAGTTTGGAAGACACTGAAAGCAAATGTTTGTTGATCCTGTCACTTCAAATATAGGGCAATGACCAAGGCAATGTCTGGAAAAAAACCAAACACTTTAATTTTTAAGACAACTGCAAGCACCTCAAACAATGGATTATTGTTACAACACTTGTTAGCTTTTCACAATCTAGTTATTGCAAAGGCATATGAATAAATGTTAATGGACAAAGTCAAGAAAAAAGAGGCACCTTAATGAATGTAAAATTTAAAATAAAAGACATTCATTTCACTGACATCTAAAAGAGGCTAAATATACCTCTATATATTAACATTCTAAAATTGTATTGCCTACTAATGGATTTTGTGTCCTGGATTCTACAATTAATTTTAAGGAAATGCATAAACAAAAACTGTGTGCAACCTGCAAAGGGAAAATCATTTTCTCATTCATGGAAAGACAAAGAAAAAGCTAGTATAATAAGCTGTTGTAGCCACACATAAAGCTGCCTATGGAATGAACGTGATCATTGTTACCTTTGAGCTGTGAAAAGTATTCTTCCCACCGCACTGCAAACTGTATATACCATACCTTGTGTTTAGACAAACACGATCATGCTTTTCCAAAAAAWATATATATTTTTTCATTCCACACTGAACATGTTTCTCTTGTCCAATTTCATGTATTTAACTTACAGTGTTTGGAGAAGGCAACACAACGTGGTACCAGGCTATCACATTTTCAAACAGAAATCGCTTTTTTTCTTTTAAAGTACTTTAAAAAATATGCAAAAATACAAATGGAACTGCCCAATTATAAGGTATATTTTAGAATGAAAAGCATGTCTTTTCTTCTTTTAAAGTGCCATATAGGGAATGACATCTTGTTACCCAGAGCCATTTTATTTAAAAATCTAATGTAAATGGACTGTTATGGAATGAAAAATTTGCACAACTCCTTGAAGCAGTGAGTCTGCTACATGCAACTTGGGCTACAAAGCACTAAGGACTTGGTAGCTTTTCTGAAAAATTGAGTCCCCATCCCATACTTAATGGAAAGTAACATTTACAAGGGTGCATTTACATACACTATAATACAGGAATGATGTCCCTTTGCCAGAAGATAAAATTGTACATTTCCTTGCTATTTCTTGGTTCCAACTTGATAATTTCTTAAGATTGTAAATTATATAGTACTCAGCTAAAATATTTCTTCATAAATAGTTACAAAACCTGCCAAAACACAAAGGGGAAAGTATTTTTCGTTCAAAAAAATGACATTTGAATGTCACACAACACGAGAAACAATGCTTAGAGACATGTTATTGTTTCCAGAAGAAAATGGTCAGTAAACTACTTAGCTGAAGACAAAGACTACCCTTCCCTAGGATCACAGTGCACAAAAAGCAAAATGTCAAACAACAGTACCTCAAAGCAAAATAAAGGTCTGAGGATGAAGCCAGCTCACTTGTAATCCTGTTAAAGAATGAGAGTCACCGTTTGGGTCCAATGTACTGGAAAACATTTGCTAGCTCAGAATGCTATATTTGTAGAATTTGCTAAGAATTCAACCAAGGATGTCGAAGGCATTCGCCAGCTGAGGCTCGTTTTTCAGGAACCATTTCTAACATCGGGATCAGGAAATCTGTAAACTGTGCAGCATCTTCATGGGGCCAGCCATACTTTTCTACAAGTACATCAAAGAGGCTCCAGGGCTTCAGCTTGGTGATGTGCCGCAGTTCTCCTGCAGGGAGGAAGAAGGAAAAAAACCACACCAATATCAAGAAAGCTCCAAATTTGCATTTCCCATAGTTGGTTCATCTGGGTTCTTTTCATTGAAGCAGACAACCTACCTGCTCCACACTTTATGGCAACAACAAGGAACGCTAGGTTTCCCACCCTAAGCAATTATCATTGTGACCATGTCATATACCAAATAAGTCTGGTGGATGTAAATAAGGATTAATTAATAGTTCATTCACCTCAGTTCTAGGTTAAATAGGTACACTGATAATGCTCAGAATGTTTTCATTTCCAAAAGCTGACAAAGCCACTTTCCTCCAAGTTGGGATCTTTGGTAATTTGCAAGCTTGCCTAGAAAAAGCTGTAGATGTACACCATTTGAAGTCCTTGCACAATTATCTCTTCATGTTATCATGCAAAGAAAAAGGAGTCTTTTCTTGTAGAGTAGCACAAAGAGAACTTTTTGTGATGGTAGAGATGTACTTTTTATCTGTGCTATCCAATTTGAAAGCCTCTGGCCACATGTGGCTAATAAACATATGAAATGTGACTAGTGCAATGAAGAAATAACATTTTAATTTGTCTAAATTTGACCAGCCACACACAGCTAGTGGTTATTGGAATGGGCAACACAGTTTTAGAGACTAAACCAAACAGTTCATTTGTTATAAAATCTGAGTCCAAGGACATCTCTTCATAAACTTTAACCTATAATTGTCAAAATGTACTAGGAGTAATAGAAAATGTGCTATTCAAAAAAGCTGGGTTGCAAATGACTCTGACTGATCTAACAGATGACTAACAAGCTAGTAAATGGTCTTTTTTGTAATATAAAAAAAAAGTTATTTTTAAATCAAACTGCCAAAAGGTCAGGGTAAATTGCATTATGAATAACTCATTTTCTTTGTTCAAAAATTTCACAGGACACCCCACCCCTGCCCATATAGAGGCCTCCTGGGTGCCCCTCAGAGTGTGGGCCCCTGAGCAGCTCCTGCAGACAGAGGAAGTACCACACCGTGCCGTGCCCACGCCCCAGAGCCAGCCACAGGGCCTGCAGCCACACAGCCAGGTCTCAGTGGGGCAGACAGAGGGATTCAAGCACCCAGCACCTCATGCAAGGGCTGAGTCTTCTCTTTCCTTTCACCTGCTGTAATCTAACCTACAAGGTAAATTCTTCTCATGTATCCACAGAGAGTCACTACTACGCTCATGAAACTCTTCTCAGGAGGCCTGGGCTGTTTTGTTTTATCCACTTATCCAACTCAATTTAGAAACACCCTCCCCCCTTTAAAAGCATAACAAAAATAAAAGAACATTACAAAAAACAAAAGCAGAAATCACCTAAATCCTACCTCCCAGTGGCTCTTCCTTTTGGCTGCACTCTCTTTTGGACCGGTTTGTCTACTGATTTGTGATCATGTTAGACACAGAATTTGGTATAAGGAAACTTTCAAGAGGGTTTCTTATTGAAGAGGGTGAGGTGCCAAATAATATTTTGGTTCCAACGTGAGCCCTGGGATTGAGTTAAGCATTGCTTCTAAACTGGAGGTCAGGTCTATGTTTAATGAGGAAGACCTGTAATTTCAGTGGTGGAAGGGGTTGCTTGTGAAGGAAACAGTCTCTAAGAAAAAAGTCTGAGGAATCACTAAAGGGTTTTTATCCCTCTAACCCAGAAAATCCAGTTCTCGGAATCCAACTTAAGGAGATAAACCCTAGCATACCTTTTGCCCCCAAATATGCTCCACAAAATTGTAAAGTCATAAATGCTCAATAATGGGAGAATGGTGGTTTAAAAAACACCAAGGTACATCCACTTGAAAAATAACACGGGGGGAAATCATATGGGACAATGTAGGTAGTAACAGAACATGCTCAAAACTATGTTCTGCAGATAATCACAAGACTGATTTTTAAATACCCAGGAACATGGAAAGCAAATGCACCAAAATGTCAGTTTTCTTAGTTGTCAGGTTGTTTCCCTGAATCTTCCTATTTTCAGTAATGTAACTACCTTAGAGTGACTATTGATCCCATCAGAAAATACTAAAGAAAACTAAGACAGCTCACACATGATATGCAAAAACAAGTTCTCTGGAAGGGGAGAACTTTCTTGACATTGTTATCCTGTCTTAGAACACATACTCCACAAGTTTGTAGGTGAATACAAATGCTGAGAAACATTCTGCTCAGAATAGGAAAAGAACCTATTTTTGAGGGTGCCAGTTTCTAAACTAAAATCCTTCAATGGATATCAAACTAAGCATAATCATCTCTGTGTATCCACAGGGACTGGTTGCAGAACACCTCCCCAACACAAACACCACTGAGAAGAAAAAGTATTTGCATTAACCAATATATATTACACATTCTCCAGTATACTGTAAATCATCTCTAAAATATACCTAATACAATGTAAATGTTCTATTGCAGTTGTTATATTGTTTAGTGGATAATAACAAGAACAAAGGTCTACATGTGTTGAGTAGAGACACAGCTATTCTAAAATATATTTCTGAAGTGTGGTTGGTTGAAATATGAGATGGAATCCATGGATACAAAGGATCGACTATACAATCTTCCATGAAAAGATAAGTTGTATCTCTACAGATTCCTTAACAACTGCACAGTACACAATATCAGTGCTGGGAACACAGGCTATGAAAAAGTATTTAATCACATAACTAGCCACACTAAAAACTGATGTATATTTTCAAAGCAGCTAAGCATGGTGGTGCACACCTGTAATCCCAGCAACTTGAGTAGCTAAGGCAGAAGGATTACAAGTTTGAGGCCAGTCTCAGCAACTTAGTGAGATGCTTTCTCAAAATAAAAAACAAAAGTGTGGGAGAGGTAGATCAGGGGTGCTTTACCCCTTGCTTCAAATTCCTGCCCCTCCCCAAAAAAAAGATAAATATGCTAAGAGCATCCTAAAATAGCTAACATACTTTTGGCTAGGTAATTTCATATAATAAACTGTATACAAAAACATGACTTAAAACAGCAAAGTATGCAATACTCAAAAAAAAAAAATCCTAAACTCCTACAAGCACTGAACATACAGGAGTACTAACCTAAGAGAACACAGGACTGTTTCTAAAATTAAAAAACATGGATAATATAGATGCCTTATGAGTATAAGTACAAATCGTTATGTTTGATATAATATGAAGAAATGCTATCATATCAGTCATGGATGAGGTTCCTATTTTCTCCCCACTGTCCAATCAGCTCCCTAGCAAATTAAAGAATTTTTACCTTGGGCTGGAGTTTTTGCTCAGGGGTGGAGCGCTTGCCTACCAAATGTGAAGCACTGGATTCTATCCTCAGCACCACATAAAAGTAAATTAGTAAAAGTATAATAAAAATTTAGAAAAAGAACTTCTACCTTATTTTTTTCTTAAGAATATATACAAAGATGTCACTGAAACAAATCTGGAGATAATTAGATGCTTAATTGTGATGACTTTTACTTTTTAAATCCAAGTTTCTAGTTTTTTTTTTCCTCCTCCTTTTTTGTGGTACCAAGGATTAAATATAGGTACACCTATGATTAAATACACGTATGGTAGGCAAGCACTTTGTCACTAGGTTATGCACTCAGCCTTTGCTTCTTAAAATACTGAGCATCAGCTGGGCACAGAGGAACAAACCTGTAATCCCAGAAATTCAGGAGGCTGAGGCAGAAGGATCACAAGTTTGAGGCCAGCCCCAGCAACTTAGCAAGAACCTGTCTCAAAATAAAAAGGGCTTGGAATGTGGCTCAGTGATTAAGCACCCTGGGGTTCAATCCCTGGGACCAAAAAAATTTTTAAGGCAGGGGTATGTTGCTCAGTGGTAAAACATACCTGGGGGTTCAATCCCTAGTGCTGGAAAATAATACTCAGCATCATAACCTTTCCTGTGACTGTAAGTTATCAGCTCAGTACCCACTCTTCCATACACACATGCACATAAAAGCTCCATAAGCCAGGTGGCACCGACTGCCATCAGGTGCTATAATTTAGAGCCCCTGGGGCTTCTGAATTTGCTGAGAAATGTCTTAACAGAGCCAAAAAAAAAAAAAAAAAAAAAACCACAGTAAGTAGCAGAGTTCCTTCTCTAACGTAGAGGCTTTGAGACAGCAACTGTATTTGCCAGTTCCAGATTACTTACATTTCTCTTGAATGTTAAATGATCTATCAAGGAAAATGTTACTTTGTCCATAAAATTATAATATTCCAAAATTAAACAGATGCATGAAGTTTCATCCACATGGGAGGAGTAAAAAGGAAAATCCATGACACTATATTTCAGTGAATACTGGTAATTATAAAATGATTATGCTAAATTTCAGTATTCTATACATAGAAAGGAAATTTACCAATATATAGTGATACGAAGCAAGAAACAAAATTTAAGAAATCTGAACAAATTCCTTCATAGGTATACAAAACACAAATAGTTGAATTCAAAAAATCCTCATGTCACATAGAAAAAATTAACTAAAAATGGATCAGACACCTAACTAAGAAAAGTAAATCTTCATGGCCTTCAAGTAGGTAATGATTTCTTAAGTAAGCTATCTACAGCACAAGTAAAAAGATAAAGCAAAAGTATATAAACTAATCATCAAAATGAAGACCTCTGTACTTCATTCACTGGAGTAGACAAAGGGGAATGAAGAGAAGGGATGGGAGATAGGAAAGACAGTAGAATCAATCAGACATAACTTTACTATGTTCATATATGAACACACGACCCGTGTAACTACACATCATATTCAACCACAACAATGGGAACCTAATTAGAATAAGTTATACTCCATGTATGTATGTCAAAATATACTCTACTGTCATGTATATCTAAAAAGAACAAGTAAAAAAATTTTAAAAAACCTTTGTACTTCAACCATTACATATGTGCATTCAAGGGAAATGAAAACATATGTCCAAACAAAAACTTGAAAATTAATAATATCAGCATTATTCACAATAGCCAAAATGGAGAAACAAAACAAATGTC